TTGAATTTAAACAGGATTAATGCTGAACAAAAATCTAGTTGTATTAGGTCTAGGTTGAAAGAAACCCAGGGGAGCCAAACCAACATATTACATCAGTTCATGAAGTCATTGATTATTCGTCTGAGTCATGTTGGTAGATGCAAACTACCTAGTTGGTGTCAGCTTGGTTAATTTAATTAATGGTTGTAGACGAGGGATGACATAACTCAGAATCAACTATTATCAATGCAGATGTATTTACTCATTTTCTTCCGTCAACTGTCGAGTTATAAAACTATATAATTTTTACTGCTGAAATTCATCCATTCTTATCAAATTACATTGTCTGTAGTTAGCGTTTTCTACTACCATTGATGCTATTTCCATTCCTCCGACTACATTCATATCAATCTTGATAATTTCAGCAGACTAGGATTATTTATGCTGTATGGTAAATTAAACCAGTGTACACTATGTATTCCAGGTTCTAACTGATTAGATTTCATCTTTTTTTACAATATTTTGTCTTGATTTTTCTAGAACCACATGGTATACATAAATATTGTTTTCTAATCGATATCATCTAAAAGAATGTAATTCCTTTACATACAGCTTAGAATTTTCTTCAGTCATGGATAACATCCAAAACATGTTAGAAATCTGTGTTGAGTGAAATACAGCTAATGCAGTCTATTTTCGATCATAAGAAAGCAGAAATTTGCTATTTTTTATTCCGTTAAGTCATTTTAGAGGGGATATTGTGATTGAGATGGAGAAGATTTGTAGCTCAGGTGGATTATTTAGGTGGAGTTTTCTTCTCTGAGCTCGATGGTTTGGTCGTGGATCTTTCATTGTTCAACAACAACACTTCATGTCTACCCTAAGTTTGTACTGGTGATGTTGTTTGAAAGAACAATGAAGCTCCACGAGCACACCATCCAGCTTAGAGTATATTGTTATTTTCAATCTTCTCATTTCATTCTTTTACTTGTAATAACTTATTTCAACATATATTGTCGATGTTCTCGTTTATTTCTCTCTTTCCGTATGTTGTAGAAATCAAGACAATAAAAAAATGCTAAAGTGTTATTATTATTATTATTATTATTAATCGAATATCATTCAGTTAATAACTGCTATATAGTTCATATAGGCTAAAAAGGGAAGTGTCAGAAAAATATTTTAAATGGATAATTACTGTCTATGGATTGATTGACCAGCAAACAGTAGCAATTTTACTATCAATTCACTAGTTTTTATTTTCTCGAATGGTATCTTGAATCCCTAATATCTCATATTACTGTTACAATCTTTACTACTCTGGGATTCGCACTAATAATCTCAACTAGCTGTGCTAATGTGGTATTGCAGCTTAAAAATGTACCACTTTTTACGTTGCGTTTGACTGACTAAATGACCAACGTAGAGTTTTTCTTACCCAGTTGTGGCGATTTAATTCTTTCGATTAAGTTATAATGTACCAATGGTCTAGATGACTTACGATATGTACATTAAACAAGCATTAAACTGTTTACTATCTCAGTCGTACGGGTGGTCAGTCGCGTCTGGAATAGCTCAGTAGTAATATCTCTGACTGGTCCGGTTGCGAATCTAGAACTTGTTCCCTCAAAAATGCAGGCATGCCGATCACCTCCAACCGCTTAGTCGGACATTAGTGATTAATGGCTACAATATTGCGCTCACCACCATTTTGAACACTTTTATTTTCGTGTTAATTAAACATTTACATTATACTCAGTATTCTCATTTATTTGATTATCGTGCTTGGATGGAGAAGGCTTAGACTTGTTATGACTGAGTATTTACTTCGAAAAGGTGTTCTGCATTTGCCGACAAATGCTTCACATTACCAATTTTGAATTATATCTAGTGTTATACTTGTTCCTATCGAGTATTATGTACTAATCGCGTTGTAGCTTATCATCATAATCTTTTAAACATATGTACAAGGGGCAAGAATATGTGTCATTTTTAAAAAAGCGATCAATGAATTACTTTTTGTCATAGTATTAATTTGGAAGTAGGTGCTTTTTGTGGTTGTTTTGCTCATTAAAGGTTGACATCCGTTTGGGTACCACTGAAAACAAAGAATGACCGGATACTCATTTCGTTGTAATGTGAGACTTCTGAGAAATGTATATTCACGATACCCACATGGATCAGATCCAGGACCTACGAGTTTTTAGGCGATCTTGTTACCTTTGAACGACTAAGTTTGTATCCATAATTTACAAACTATACAGTTCTCTACAAACCTTAGAAGTTAACACTTTTTATGTATTTATGCATGAGGGTTACAAAGAACCAATGGATTTCCTCAAGGTCTATTGCACTGATGAATTCTCGTAAACTCATCCCATCAGGCTCTGAACACGATGAAGAGCGACAACAAATCAGATCTAGGTTAACCAAAAGTCTAAGGAACGATCGTGAGCAGTGGTGGACAACGAAAGCAAAAGAGATGGAAAAGGCGGCGGCTATAGGGAACACAAGACAGCTCTACAGACTAATAAAAGAAACTGGAATTAATAAGTCAAGTGTAAGTCAAACTATTTCGGAAAAAGACGACACCCTCATCTGCTCTCAGTCCAGACGTTTAGAACGATGGGCGGAACATTTCAGAGAACAGTTCAGCTGGCCTTCAGCTACTCTACAACTACCCTCCATTCCCAGACAGTGTGAATGGAACATTGAAGTAGGTCCCCCAACTCTAGCAGAAGTTCAAAAGGCTATAGTTAATCTGAAACGAGGAAGGGCAGCTGGTCCAGATGGATTGGCTCCAGAGGTCTTTAAGGATGGTGGTCCAATTTTAGCGATTAGGTTGACTAATATTTTAGCTAAGATCTGGGAGTTAGACGTTATTCCATCTGACTGGTCACAATCACTTATCGTCCCAATATATAAGAGAGGGTTAAAATCATCCTGTGACAACCATAGAGGGATTAGTTTAACTAATATAGTATCTAAAATACTAGCCTCGATAATTATCAGACGCCTAACTAAGACTCGTGAACTGCAAACACGAGAGAATCAAGCTGGCTTCAGACCTGGTCGTGGCTGCATCGACCACATATTCACCATTCGTCAGGTTCTAGAACATAGGCATACTTATCGGCGTCCGACAATGGTGGTCTTTCTTGACTTAAAAGCAGCATTTGACTCGGTAGACCGCGAGATTCTGTGGCAGTGTCTGTCATTGAAAGGCGTACCTCAGAAGTACATAAACCTTGTGAAGGCTCTTTACTCGACCAGTCGAGTGAGAGCTTATGGCGAACTGTCATCTGCCTTTGCAACCTCAAGTGGTGTCCGTCAAGGCTGTTCACTTTCTCCATTTTTGTTTAACTTCATCATAGACCTATTGATGGAAATAACATTCTCGGGTATTGATCTCATTCCAGGAGGTCCACTTATCGACTTAGAATACGCAGATGATATAGTCCTGTTTGGTGAAGACGCTGATAAAATGCAGAGTCTTTTGGTAGCACTAAGCAACAATGCCAGAATGTTTGGAATGCGCTTCTCTCCCTCTAAATGCAAGTTGTTGCTTCAGGACTGGTCTGCGTCAACACCTGAACTAAGGATAGGGAGTGAAGTAGTCGAACGCGTTGACAACTTCACTTATCTTGGAAGTCTGATCAGCCCTAATGGGTTGGTGTCTGACGAAATCTCAGCACGGATTCGAAAAGCTCGTTTGGCTTTTGCCAACTTACGTCACCTATGGCGAAGGCGAGATATCCGTCTATCAATAAAAGGACGAGTATACTGCGCGGCAGTAAGTTCTGTTTTAATTTACGGCAGCGAAACATGGCCATTAAGAGTAGAAGACACTCGTAAGCTACTAGTATTTGACCACAGATGCCTTAGAAATATTGCTGGCGTCTGCTGGGATCACCGGGTAAGTAATAGTGAGGTTAGACGCAGGGTATTAGGGAATGATGGTAAATCAGTTGATGAGGTTGTGAATCTTCATCGACTGAGATGGTTGGGCCACGTGTTACGTATGCCCGAACACCGATTACCACGACGTGCAATGCTAACCGGTGTTCGGGATGGTTGGAAGAAAGTTAGGGGCGACCAAACCAAAACGTGGCATCAGTGCTTGAAGTCACTAACTTCTAGTCTGAGCCATGTTGGTAGATGCAGACTACTTGGTTGGGGTCCGCGTGACTATCGTAACCAATGGTTGGAGACTCTTGGTGACATAGCTCAGAATCGATCACAATGGCGTCGGTGTATACACTCTCTGTCTTCCCTTAAACTAAGAGATTGAAATCGCTTCATATCTTTCTTTCTACGAACTAATTCTTTCTTCCTGTACTATATCCTTATTGCAATCTTTCTTTTATATATTACCACCTCTGAATTAACTACTTTTATGAATCCGGTGTCCATCTTGTTGTGTTAATGGTGTATGGCAACTTGGACCGATGCATATATGTGCCTGTTCCTACGTTGTAGCTGACTGAGTGACTGACTAAATAACTAAATAATATATGAGTCCGGATTGTTATCATTTATGCTACTTTCTTGAAACCACTGCAATCATCACGCAACTGTTCATTCGACACAACAAGTCATGATTTTCTATCAGAACTTTAAGGATAATTTTTTTGCCGAATCGCGAACTAGTTGAAGCTAGACAACCTATGTAAACCAAGAAGATCTAGACAACTATTTCGTCGAAGTACTGGAATACTTAGTCATGTATATTCACAGACTTGCCAGGTATTGAAACCAGGGACTTAAAGTGTCAAAGGCAGAGCTGAAGCTTAAGACTGGTTTAGGTTTTAAATCCACTCGATTTACTATATTATTTCTGATTTTAAGGCTTAATATACATTTACTGTATCAATATTCAAGATACACAGAAAAATTTGAAAGGAATATGTGAGCAGATCTCATTAATTTAAAACTGATATAAAAAGAAATGTGGAGAAATTTTTTTCAAGGAAAACTTTGACAAAGTACTATAGTCATGATTATACCAATAAAATAATTGTTCAATCGTAAATTCTCTTATTGTTTTCTAGTTTATTTTTCACCAAATTTAATAAGTAATCACTTGGTAAATTATTTGGTTTCTCTAGTAAAAGTTCACGCGTCAAATGAGAAACTGTCGAACTAATCATATTAATTGATAAATTTTTTTCTAGTTCAGCTTCTTTTATGACGTGATCCAGCATTGTGATAAGACGTGGACATAATTCATTGGCGGTTGATACAGCTGGAGAGTCCTGTATATACACATTCACATACGCATGAACGTGTAGAAAAAACGAGAGATGATGAGAGAAGACAATTAAGACGAAGCAAATAAAAAAACATTTGACATAAATTTATGGTTTTATCTTAATCGTTTGATAATGATACATTATTTGTGTAAGGGAGTGTGAAGAGACAGATAAATTTTGTAATTCACATCACAGACTAACTTCATCTAGACGACTATTGAAAACCAGACGGCATTGGATAAATGATTCAATCGTCTGAGATTCCTGATGGGTGCAAGTTCGTAACCTTCTAGGTCTAAAAGCTAAGCGTTCGCCACGAGACATAAAAGTCATGCCTGCGATCCATAGTGGGATTGTGAATGAGTACTTATGAGAACTTATATGGTAAGACGAAACATCTGTCTGATTCTGCTTCCTGATTTTCAATGATCATCTAACCAAGGTAATTTCATGATGTAAACTAAGTAGTGATAAACACATGTTTAATTCCGTTTGATACATACGTTAGAAAAAATCGTTTTAAAGACAGTAATTCTTTACAGCTTAAACATTCGACTGCAGAATTTTTGTGTTTACATAACTAAAATACTTTTTATCATTAATTGAGTTAACTATGCGTAACATTTTATTGAATGGATAAGCATATAAGCTTTAATTTACGCTGGTTGATCGCTCCTGTCTAGTACACAGTACTAATCATCCCGAAAGTACGTGGACACCAGCCTAAGGTTTTTAATATTACGTACACTATGTAGTGTTATTGGCCGCTAGGGAGTTTGAAGCAATTAGTAGGAAGTCTTGAGTCCAAGTTTTGTGCTAAATAAGACGTTGACTATGCAAATGAGTAGCACAAGTTTGAACTCAAAAAAACAGCAACAATCCCCTTAAGATTGCAAGCATAATTTCTTGACAAGTATCAATAAGAACAAAATCAAGGTCTAGATGTCCTCACCAATCGTTTCTCTAATTACTTGACAAGCTTTGATATACTATGCAGCTGAGAATAACAATTTTCGAAAAGTCATGAGAAATAATGACGATATTTTCTGACAGGATTTGTCACATACAGGTGAACACTGAATATTTGCATAATAACATAATTTTAATTGTGAAATAAAAAAACCATAGATTCATGCATGTAATATGGATGGATTACTAAATTTGATCAGGTATCCCGCGTCATCTGGGACAATAGAGTTGGAGAATGTTAAAACACAGCTAGATAACAACACAATATCAGTATGCTGGGTTAAAAAACACACGGTTGATCGAAGCATATAACTGATCTAGGTACTTGGATGATTAGGTTTAAAGTATAAAAAAATCCAGTAAAACGACATTTAGGGTGACTATATTCAATTCAGCGAGTGAATCGCATGAAAAACACTGAAAAACGTTTACTAGGCGATAATTGTTTTTATTCATCAGTACAACTGAGATAATGAAAGGACGAAACTATTTGTTAATATAGACACATCACATTTAAAATTTTCATGGTAGCTGTTAAAAAAGTTCTCTAAAGTATGAAAAAGAAATGAACAGACTAAAATCTTCATTTAGTACTAACATTTTACAAAACTTTTTAGAAAGAAAAAAGAAAATCAACTGCTTACATGAACAAAGTCTAGTTCATCTTCATATATGGTAGAGTATTTTTTATCTAATTTCAACCAAATTGATTCAAGCTCTTCGTCTTTAGATGCTTGATGTTCAGCTTGTTTAATTACTTCCATAGGTAGGCCTGCAAGACGAGCAACGTCTAGACCATAACTACGACTGCATACGCCTAAATTAATAACACGAAGAAGTATGGTGGATTAGCGATAATGTAAGTACAAAATCTACGCTTGAGAGACAGATAATTACTAGATTGACAATTTAAAACGATTTGAATTCTTTCTAGTACCCTAGTTGCTGGCAGTCCATCCTTTAACCATTAGCTTCGGGTTTCTCCATAGTGTTGGCCAAGACTTCACGTAAATCCCAAGTGACATTGTTGACAAGTACCAACGGTAAAGGAATATTAATCGTGAGTTTACTTTAATTCAGTATGAAGGATGGTGTGGTGTCGTCATTCAATTCTGTTTCTTAATTTTTAGCACTCATCACATTACAATGTTTGCAGTGACAGAAAACTTTCCCATCTAAAAGTTTGTGCTATGGTGCATAACATTTTGCACATTATTATCCACAGAAAATCAGCAAACCATCATATATATTTGTAATAAGGCAAAAAGGTGAATTTTATCGAAACAACATACTTCAAAAATTTAGAAAACGAAACAGTTAAAAGTATAAGTCGGTGTTAAAATCAAATATTTTTCAAACCATAGCACTAATCTAATTAAAGTAATTGAGTGATCGAAAATCGAGTGAGTTAACAACAACCATTATCGAAGAACTTACAGTGACATAAAATGTACCGTAAACTGACCAAGTGCCATTTAAGGTTTATGTAAGAAAAGGACATTTACATGTCACAAATATATGATCATGTTTCCATGATGAAAAAATCTGATGAACAAACAAGACAATGGAAATAGGTAATCTAGAAAGGAATTATTTTAGCCATTCACAGATTTTTTTATAGTCAAACCAAACGATCGGAAAATACACTAAAACATTTAGTTATTAGTCTGAAATTATTATCCAATTACTCAATCAATTTTACGATTACATACCTGGCTCAACTTTATACAACATGGTAACTTTTGTCTCAGACTCTTCATCTTCAACGATCCCCTTAGTGTTTGATACATTGCATAAAACTCGTAGATTAGCTACACGCTTGGGCATATAATTTGCTAAACTGGTTAATTCATGAAAATGTGTGGCAAATAAACCGAAACAACCAACTTCAGGACTAGCTAAAAATGAAGCAACTGCCCATGCTAGTCCAAATCCATCATACGTTGATGTGCCACGTCCTAATTCATCAATAATGACAAGTGAATTTGGCGTGACCGACTAATGTTATGAGTTTAAAAAAAAAAACTGCAATAAAAAATTATTTTATGACACCAGAAAATAATATAAACATTAATATTATTGAATAATTTCAATTGTATGAATATGCATAGAATGGGAAAAAGGTGAATAATTCACAACTCAGTCAGTTAGTCATTATCAACGTAGAGACTCGCGCAAAGATATATTACTATATCATATTACCACAAAACCACAAAACGTGACGTTTATACATGTCCAACATTGTAAAAAAAATAACAATTAAACAGCAAATATAAGTGTTTCTTACTGTTTGTTAAGGACTTACACTCAAATCACGGTACCATGTAACAGCTTCACGTGACACAAATACACAGTTCGAGAAGAAAGAAACAATTTTATCCAAAGAAACTGAACATGGTATTTTTCATAAAACTTATCAAATGAAAGAATTTCTAACAAATGTCACAACTATCTTCAGTTTTATATCACGAACCGATTTCAATTATACCACCACGTCAGCGAAATGACATTTGGACCTGGTATGAGACTTCTCAGTAGTGCGAATTCACGATCCCGTATCGAGGAGTCGAACCCAGGATCTTCAACTTACCATGTCGGGTGCAAGACAGTTGTCGACGGGAGACAATAGATGAGGGCTGTTCAATATCTCCAATTGACTATTGGATGCCAACCCAGTGGTCTAGGGAGTTAGGCGTTTCTGCACAAGGCCGAAGGTGCTTACAGGTCCGTCTAGCTAAGGTCAGTTCGTGATGTAGATCTATGAAAATTCTACAATCTCCCTATTTTCTTTCCATAGTGTTTGTAAGAAATGAATTGTGCCACATTATTCTCCTGCTAATGATAATATGTAGAATGTAGCCAGTGAAAAGCAGCTCATTTGTCCATGAAAACAGTTCAGTCAGCTATTACATGTGTATACCACGTGCTACTCATTTCATTTACTAATTTATAACTTGGAAAATATATTGACATTGCTAGCTAATTCAACAAGTGTCTTTCTTTTGTCTTAAATGTCAGTTTTCATTAAAAATGTTAGTAATAAGTGTTAGTTAGGAAAAATTACATTCAGTGTAGGGTGTTAGTTACAGACAAGAATTGAGTGTGATAGGGTAGTAGTTGGTGATAAGAAAATGACTTATCGTATATTAAATAATTTTACTTTGTTGTTGTGTTTGCACGTAGTCGGCAGTAAGCTTTTAATAATAATAATAATAATAATAATAATAATAATAATAATAATACGCTATTTTTATTCGTTGTGATTCGACAATTACCAAAATAAATTTGCCTATAGGTATAAGAAAAGAATCACACAGAAAACATTAGAATTCCCCCGTCCGACTAACATCCCTTCTCATTGAAAAATACGATGACAATCCAACTAATTAATTAATTGATGTATAGACAATAAAAATATGTAAGTTTAGTGAAAAATGAAATCTGTCATTGATGGTATCATTACCAAGGTTTGACTTGATAATTTCGAAAAAATTGAGCATTGGGTAGATTGTCATGAAAAATTAATATATTTGCAATATCCTAACGAATAGAAAAACTAGATTTTCCGACGTTTCGTGACTCAGTGTAAGCCACTTCTTCAGGGAATAAATAACCAAATCCAATTTAATCCAAGTTTGAATAATACAAAGGAACAACACAAGAATATTATACGCGATCAATCAAAAAACAGGTCTGAACAAGTCAATGTCATGTCATTTCAGTCAAGGTGACTTATAAGCGACATTTATGTAAATTTGTGCGTGTGTGTACGTATGCAAGGTCAGGGACGAAAAATTGTGACCTTATTGGTGCGAGAGGATGGAGCTTAGTTTGTATGTATGATAATAGTGTGAAATGTGAGTAATATCAGACATGGTAGCTACAATAGATAGTCCAAGTCGGATGTATAGTGAGGTCTTCCTCCTTTCTTTGTAGTTGGAAAAACCTTTTTGTAATATTTTGATGTTTTTGAAATCGATTTGATTGTTGTTGAAAATGGTGTGAACAGCTATAGCCGACGTAACTTGAAGTTTATCCAGTTCGACGGGATTACTATGTGGTTTCTTTGTGTACATAATATATTCTTTGGTTTGAGTCAAGATCTAGCACATAATATTCTTGTGTCATTCCTTTGTATTATTTAAACATGGATTAATTTTGATTTGGTTATTTATTCTCTGAAGAAGCGGCTTACACTGAGTCACAAAATCTAATTTTTCTACTCACTGGAATATCACAAATATATTAACTAAGTCATTGTCATTTATTTACATTAATCGAAATTTGCAAAAACTGAATTATCACAGTACACTAAACACATGTGAGACGATGAAGTGGTGTCCGCAACGGCTGCTATTTTTATAATTCTGGTATATTAGAACCAGGATTGAAGGAATGGTAACTCATAGAACAAATTTATAAACTGTTATTACTACATGTAGTCATATTACATAAGTGTTACGTAACTAGTTTACTATGTCTATATATTCCATTTATTATAAAATTTCGATTAACTCATAGAATATTATCACATGATTTATTGTTAATATTTCTATTATCTATTACTCATAGTCTTCCCTAATCATAGCTACAATTAACTTATTCATATATAATTGTCACTTTTCACTTTATAGCGTGGTATGTCTATATATAATCTACATCTGTTCGAAACATATGGTGGAGGCTCGTCGATGACTTGAACTGAAGGGCAAGACATATAGAGGAGCTAGCGAATAGTGAACTAATAGGAACTTAGCTATTGACTCAAAGTTAATAGTGCTGATCGGGTGTGTAATTGACTAAGCTAGAGACAAGCTATCGAGTAAGTAGTTGACGCAAAACGGACCAAATTAGAATCAGGATTCTGATTAGTGATTTGTCATGTAATTTTGGTCAGAGGTGTTCAAGATATAATATATTCCTTCAGCTAAAAATCGAAGATAACAACAAAAAGAGTTAGCGAACATAAACACTCAAAAACAAAGGCGCTAGAGCGAATTGATTTAACGCTTTTGCAACAACTAACTGATAATGTTGTCGAGGAAAATAATTGAAAATCCACAATTAAATTATTTAGTTTGAAGAACTCAACAACACTAGAAGGATACAACTGATTTGAACATAATCTCTCTATCATCTATAATTATTGAACTGAACTACTGAGAAGTTGGATATCGATGAATTGTATTTTTAAAGCATGCAAAAATAAATATACTAACTCGTAAAACAGCTGAAGTTTCAAGCATTTCTGCTAAAAATGTAGAAACACCACGACATTGATAATCAGCCGCACCAACACGTGCCATAATAGCATCGACTGGCATAATTTCTGCGTATGAACACGGAACAAAGCTGCCAATTTGGGCCATAGCAACAATAACGGCAACCTGAAAATTAATTCACATTCAGCGAGGGGCAAGTAGGTAGGTTATTGAGAATTACCATTATTGTTGTTGCTTGTATTACTTTACATTGCAGATTGATCACAGTCAAACAATCACTGAAAACTTAAAAACACTGAATATCCGTCTCACACTAGTACGGGACTCTGGTTGTGTATATATGATGAGACTATTATTATACGATTTACTATTCTTGAGTTATACCCAATCTATTCAACATTCAAAGCTAAATCTTGTACAAATGTTGTTTCCTACTTTATGGTACGATATTGTCTGTCTCGTTTGTATATAAACCGTGTATGTTTGAAATACACGATTCATATCGCGGAGGCTGAGATTGGTGTTCTAGACTTAACAGGCAGGGCTAGGCAGGAAGCAGGACCAATAAGGACTTTAGACTACTCGTACGGATTTTATGTCTCATTGGTCCGGTCGATAAATCATTGGCGGTATCATTACACTATACATTAATAGGACACAGGGCACAAGTTATAACAAGGGCACCGGTTCTAAAGAAAGACAAAGAGAGAATTCATCCATATCATTGCGATCGATTTTGAGCAATATTATCCAAAGTCTCAAACAATTGGTTGCACAGGCCATAACATAGGCAGTCTAAACTTATTAAAATGGCTGTCCAATTGTCAATGACTTCACAGATTGAAAGTCATAACCACTTTAGTCGATAAAGATTCACTACCTCATCAACCGACTTGCCAACCAACAGAGCTAACGCTGCATTATGGCCAAGGAACACAACTATAGCCAGGCGTCGGTAGTTATATCTATGATCTAGAACCTGACAAAGAGCAAATATTTGGTTCATACAACAACATACAGGTCTAAAACCAGTCGAGTTGTGCTTTTCACGAGCCCTAGTAAGTAATCGGATTATTAATGAAGCTAATATTTTAGATAGTATATTAGTCAAATAATTCCTTTGTGACAATCACAAGAGGACTTTTGTCCTTTCTAATAAGCTGCGACGATTAGTGTTCGAGAGAAGTTTACACAATGAACCATAATATGATTACCACTGAACTCCCAGTTAAAAATACCGTAGGCTTTAAAAAAGCAAAATGACATGTTACACTCCAACAGACATAAGTAAACATAACAAGAAAAATTAAGTTAATATCAAATGACATGACGAATCCAATCTTCACTGTACCGGATGGACTATCAAATTATCTATAAATAAACATATATATACATATACTATGAATTCCCCTAAGTTTTGATAATGATGAACATGTCATGTGTTCTCGTCAGTCTCTCTCTCGTGGACACATATACACACAAGCTTTATTCTACCATAGAACGGAAAATACGAAATTGTTATTTGGTCTTTTCTTTTTCTAACTTACACTATGTATAAAAGTTGACTTGCCACCCATATTCGGACCAGTAATAATTAGGAATATTTGTTTACCTATAAAATTCCAATGAATAAATTGGAGAAAACAACAACTGTGTGCGTTATGAGGTGGAAAATATTTGCTAGAATTGAAAGAAAGGTCGAAAACAAATCACATTTGGTCAATATATGTACATATACTATATATAAGGGAAAAAAATAGAATTTAAATGTAAGAACGTTCGGCTAATTATTAGAATGGTTGATCTGTAATAAAAAATTCAGAATATGTAGAAACAAAAACTTATTCGAAATGCAATTTACCACGTTCAAGATGTACATCATTTGGAATAACACTGACTCCATCTTGCATTTCCAAACATGGATGACGTGCTCCTTTTAAAATAATACGACCATTATCTTTAGAGAGAATTTTCGGACGAATATATGATACGCCTGAAGACGAGATAGCAGCGATAGAAAGGCTAACAATAACATCTAAGAACGCAGTGGTTGCATTCAATTGATTGATAGGCTCTAAATAAGTAGCTATATACATTTAATGAAAAAGAAAATAACACATACATTAGATGAAATATGTACGGCGAAGCTGATAATTTGAATATAATAATGAAATTATTACAATGATAAAGAATTTCTGTAATTCGGGATGAGAATTTGGGAGATGTAGTGTTCATTGAACAGGGATGATCTAATCATGGTATTTTTATTGTCTTTTCAGGCAAAATTGCAATCAACACAAATTTGCAAAAGAATAAAACCTTTAGAATATTTGTAGGTGTCATTACCAAGGTTTGATTTGATAATTTCGAATAAATTGAGCATTGGGTTGATTGTTATAAATAAAAATAATATATTTGTAATATCCCAATGAGTAGAAAATTGGATTTTTCTGACGTTTCGTGGCTTAGTGTAAGTCACTTCTTCAGAGAATAAATAACCAAATCAAATTAATCCAAGTTTAAATAGTACAACGGAACAATGCAAGAATAATATTTGATCAATCAAAAACAGGTCTGAACAAGTTGATGTATGTCATTTCTGTCAAGGTGATTCATAAGTGATAAGTATGTAAATTTGTGTATGTATGTATGTGTGCATTGTTAAGAATGAAAACTGTGTGACCTATATGGTAAGAAAGGATAGAGTTTAAATTTGTAATATGATAGTGTGAAATTGTAAATACGATCAGACTGAATGGTTAGGATAGATGGTCCAAGTAGGATGTATGGTAAGGCCTTCTTTTCTATTGAGAGAAGTAGGATTAAGCATTATATGGAACGCCTCAGCTACCCTCCTTTCTTTGTAGTTGGAAAAGCCTTTTTGCAATATTTTGATATTTTTAAAATCGATTTGGTGGTTGTTGAAAATGGCATGAACTGCTATTGCCGATTTAATTTGAAGTTGGTTCAATTCTACAGGATTGTTAGGAGGTTTCTTTGTGTACCTAATATGTTCTTTGGCTCTAGTCATGATTTCGCGGGATGACTCTCCAATATAATAGGCATCACAATCGATACAACCTAATTTGTAGACGCAGTTCTGTGTGGACATGAAAGGGATTTTTTCTTTCAGGCGAACTAAAGTATTACGTAGTGTGTTCGTTGTTTTGTAATACACTTTAATTCTGTGATGTTTTAAGATTCTTTGAATTTCTTCTGTTGTGCCATGACGGTATGGTAGGACTACAGTGCCAATCCAAGGCATTTCATTCGAATCATTATTATAATGTAATAAACTGTGTTGTTTTAATATGCTTCTAATAATCTTCATAGGAAAATTATTAAATTGTAAGATGCTAATTATATTCATTTGTTCTTTTTGTTTGTCTTCCTCTGATGTGATGATCTTGTTAGCTCTTCTAAAAAGATTTAAGGCTAGCGAGATCTTAGCACTGAAAGGATGTGCTGAATGGAAGTCAATATAACGATTTGAATGCGTCGGCTTTCGGTAAATGGATAGGTTTAGACTTCCATTTGGATTTCTTTTTACTAAGCAATCCAAGAATGGTAGTTCACCATGTACATTTTCATTTTCATTCGTGAATTTGATGTGCGATGAAAGTGTATTAATTCGTTTTGAAAAAGATCTTAGATGAGTCTTTTTTATAACAACAAATGTATCGTCTACATATCTAAGCCAAATTCGTGGTATAATAATGATTCGAATGAAATGCCTTGGATTGGCACTGTAGTCCTATTCTCTGAAGAAGTGACTTACACTAAGCCACGAAACGTCAGAAAAATCCAATTTTCTACTCATTGGGATATTACAAATATATTATTTTTATTTACTTTAGAATATTTGCTCAATATGATACAACTCAAGAATAATTAGTTATTAGGTTAAAAAAAAGCCCAGCTCAACCCAATACACATGATGTAAACAGAAAGGAACTATTTAATTGTAAACTCTCAAGGTAAATAAGAAATGGTTCAGAACTTAACAATCTCAAGTATTCAAGTCTAGAGCTATTTGTTTTCTGCTGTGAACGTAGTTATTTGGTTTCCCGGTTGAATTTTAATGCCGAAAGTAGAAGACGGTGTTTTTTGTACAAACATGTTTCAATATAAATATCCATTTTGATAGTCTATCTCGACCAACTGTTGTTTTCATGCCGTTGTGCTCATTTTAAAACGGTTTTGTTTTCAAAATTCGATGGTTTATTGATAAAGTTCTCATGATCTTTCTAGAGAACAACATAATTCAGAAGTCAGATATTAGAATTTCTCAACAACTGACAAACAACTTAATCTGTTTACCGGGAATTCAATTGGTTGCTGCACATTATTGTGTGATCTCTATTTACAGGTTTGATTTAATTTATTCCCTTGACTGACTGCCTTGACGTCGGATAATGGTTGGTGTAGAAGTAGGTTAGAAGAAAGCTGGTATGGCCAAATCAAGATGTGACGTCAGTCCGTGAAGACATTTACTGCTCGACTGAGCTATTCAGGCACATACACACTATCTGGTTGGAATCCACTTGATTATACTAACCAATGTTTAGAGATTTTGAATGGCATAGCTAGAAATAGTTCACAATGGCGCAATGTATTCACTCTTTACAAATTTTTCTTTATATATTTCAGTAGTTATAATTTTTTCTCAAATTGTAACTGCGTGTTTAATCTTTGATATTACCATTAATACTTTTACTACTTCTGCTACTCTGTGATATACCCTGAGAATTTCATCTCGTTCTGTTGGTGAGGAGTGGGAAGTAGAATCGATGTAAATATATGCAACATTGTACGTTGAGTTCGACTGACTGACAGAACTCGTAGCTGTAAATCGGGACAGCTTATTTATTTTTACGGCATGTATCGATGAAATTGTGTAGAAAAAAAAATACAAACTTCCCGATTAGATCAACCAGCTCGGACAACAAAACACCTCTAAAAACTATTATCTAACCAATATATGACAAAACTTTCGAAAGAATAAAATCAAACTGAATAGCTATGAAGCAACAGATATAATTCAATAAATTACTTCATGAATTATTATGACTTAACGTAGAATCAAAGTGTAGGAAATAATATTTATTATTACTATAAACTGATATATTGACAGAGTTAACGGCCTAAAATTATTTATTTATTCGAGATAACATTGGGTATGAGAATAATCTAAAAAATGATGTAATGCTGGAAAGAAGTAGAAAAGTTAGAGGGGTAACGAAAATTTTGTCCAGTCTACAAGTTTTAATCCGTGATGATAATACTGCGTGTAATTATGTTAAGTGCAGAATGGAGTGGTGTGATATTGAAATCAACGAATATATATATATATATATATATATATATATATATATATATATATATCTTACTAATAGCGATGTATTAGAACAAAGATTGAAGAAATGTTTAGTTCCAGAACTAATTTCTGAATTATTACTAATATTCTTATTGTATAATTAACGAATATCTGGATTACTATATTCATATACTGAGTTTATCATTAGCTCCTATTTACCCATTAACTATCACCATATTAATTATTAACCTTCAGTTATTCCCAATAAATCGTGTGCGGCTTTCCCTACTCACAGACATTTTGGGTGATGTGATGTGGTCAGGTATGTTTGTAAATAAACTCAGGAGTGCTTAAAATATAATGTGAGAGAGGCTGACATTTGACTTCGTTTTGGACTCAAGGCAAAAATAGAGACAACCTTACGGATAGCGAACCATTAGGGTTTACCTTAAATGGGTTCAAGGCTACCTGTGCGGATCAGAAATGTAACTGTCCAAGTTTATGAATTTAAACTATATATGAAATATTAGGGACTAGATAAAGAGAAAAATATTCGGAGTTTCCAATAGTGAATTTAACAGGTGATATTTAAGAAAGTCCTAAGACACATGACAAGTAGTCGTAAAAAAGTAGTTACCTGCGGCACAAACAACTTGATGTACAACCACTTCTTGTAATCCATTATATTCTTGTTTCACTTCAGCATAAGTTTCAGTTAATGAAGTCATTTGGTTATTACGAAAACGTACACCACCTTTTTGTGTGTCCAAAATTTCAAATGTTTCAAATCCTCTTAAACATTTCTCATCCTTTTATTGTCATGATTATTTGTTGTTACAGTTGAAAAAAGAAAAAGAAAACAGAAAATACAAAGAAGTGAACAAAAATGAAAATGGATAAACATTAATGCGACATGACATTCTGCACGAATCAATACATAATCTTTAATCTTAAAAAGACACATAGTTCTTTCAGGGTAAATATCAGGATATTTCTTTACGGATTGTGGGAATTGGAGTTGAGTGGATGACAAAATGTATTATATGAGTTATTCGAATCAGAGTACCGACAACAGAATCTTATGTAATAAACGACACATAGATGTAGAATACACAATAAACCTATGGTGAATTTCACTAATCTGTTTTTCAGCTGAAGAGATTTAGTGAAGATCCTTTTCCGTTTGTCACAGATAGATTACAGTTGAGGTGACTTGAGATGTCTTATGAGTGTCATCCTTTTCACCTTCGTATTATATAATAAGTCCTGACGCTAAAATAAGGTAGAAAAGACAGATTTTAACAAGCTTTGGTATGAAATATAGCTGTATAAGACAGGCAAATATTGGTCCATCCTCACTTCCTGGTTGCCATCCTAGGGAAAGTGCGCACAACTCAGTGGCTTCGAATGTTATTAGACATGGTTCAGAAAAGACCATCATATTTGTACCAATCCTGATGTAATTTTTTTACATTCACAATTGATTAATCACTGGGTGGTGATCAATATCATGTTTGTCTAGTCCTTATTAGTGCAAATCGAATGCTATCGATCATGTTGCAATGTGGCCACCAGTCTAGGTGACTCGACACTGCGGGCACTATGTATTGAGATCTAGATGGTGGTTGGAGGTAGTCAACAGGAAACCCTGGACCCAGGCTTCGTGCTACTTGGCACTCTTCAGCAAAGTGTACCTGTAATCTTGAGGGAACTGGTGCTCCCTGGCGGATTCGATCTCGTGTCACCCAGCTTCACAGTCAGAGACGTTACCACTGAGCAATCAGAGCCGCGACTGACCTCCTGTAGGACTGAGATGTAATCACAATTGATTGATCACTGGGTGGTGATCAATGTCATGCTTGTCTAGTCTTTATTAGTGCAGGACCAATATCCATTATCAGACAATTGATTTACCCACTCTCCTCCCTCACTTTTTTGTGGCGTATATGTATTTCAGTGTCTAGTTGTACCAGTATTTACGCATTTTAAATAAGTTAAGGATGGTGAAGAGGACGGATTACACTAATAATTCATTTCACTATTTAGATAAGGGCATTTCAATAATGGAGAAAATTAAATCGAAAGACAAAGCATTTCAATAGTTTGATGAATACTATCATAATTCAACTGTGTTATGCCATAGTAAGAGTTGCAGTCATCATTAGGCAAAAAGGATAAAATCATTTTATATTACTTTCAATATTTAAAAAAAAATTATTTAAACGAAAAGCTTAACGATTATAATGAAATGAATTTAAACACTTGTTGAAAGTCCATCAAAGATAGGAGAATGTATACAAAATTTACTGCATATAATCAATGGATAACCACAAATCTATGCACTAGTCTCGAGATATAAAATTCAATTGTCTAAATTTAAGCGAGAGGAGTAACGGTACAAAACGTTTAGACATGATAATTGAAAACTAACTATTCACATAGGAAATAAAACACTATGAAAATGTGTATGCGCGGAGGAAGGCGAACTGCACAAACACTACTTCGCACATGTATGCACTGATTTACCTTGAGTGTGACACGCATAAAATATCCATGTAGCTCATTGCTTTCCAACTTGATAGATTTATTCTGTTCCAAGTTCAGCTTTTTTGCACACTGTAAAGGAAATTGTTAAATATACTTATCAGAAGGGGTTTTGTGGTAACAATAATGAGACAAATAGTAACTGATGTACATACAACTGGTGAAAATCATGAAATAGAGATATTAAATCAATTGCAAATGTGGAAAGAAAACAACGTTATATCTCCTGTAAGTAGTTTCTGTTTGGTTTAAGTATGGCTTATATTTGCAACAATCAATCGGACATTCAGATTTCTTCAAGGTTTCTGATTTTTATAATTATTATTGAACTGTTTGCGATTGAAAATGAGTGAAAGTACATAACATTCTTTATAACTGACCGATGTAACATGCACTAGGCTGATATATGGTGTTGATTAAAGGTAGTTGACAGGAACTCTAGACTTCATCGTTAGAATCAGATCAACACTAAGGAATTGATATACATCTTGATGGGCACTGCTTAGTGATAAATTGATTGTAAATTTACCTTAGTTCTACAGAAAGTCGGTCGCAGCCAGAATCGCTCAGTGGTAACGTTTGTGATTTTAATGCTGAATGACGCCTTATCTAGTCCGTTACGAGGCACCAGTTCTCTCAAGATTACAGGTACACCTGTCAAATAGCACTATTTGTCGGACAATGGATGTGGTTACGTCGTTACGGTAAGTTACGCATGCTTCAGTGGGTGGTCTGCCTAACCAGCGCGCCGCAAAGACCTCCTTTGTCATTCTGTCATTGCCCATAAATACCCTGGTACAGCCTAGGGTGGGGAAAGTTAACTCTCCCTCTCGAAATGCTCTCATATGGTCATGCGTATAGAGACACTGCCAGGGAAATCCTTTTAACGTCCTTCTCTTGGCGGTGTTGTTTACAAAATTGAGAGGACGAAAAGCGGGTGTTTGGCATTTTAATATTTAGCATCCACATTATCATGTAACAGACTTGTATAAATAAGTGAGTATAATAAACAAAAATACAAACCAAATAAGATATATAAATGTCAGGCATAAATCAGTCAGTCAGCTACAACGTAGGAACAGGCACATATATGCATCGGTCCAAGTTGCCATACACCATTAACACAACAAGATGGACACCGGATTCATAAAAGTAGTTAATTCAGAGGTGGTAATATATAAAAGAAAGATTGCAATAAGGATATAGTACAGGAAGAAAGAATTAGTTCGTAGAAAGAAAGATATGAAGCGATTTCAATCTCTTAGTTTAAGGGAAGACAGAGAGTGTATACACCGACGCCATTGTGATCGATTCTGAGCCATGTCACCAAGAGTCTCCAACCATTGGTTACGATAGTCACGCGGACCCCAACCAAGTAGTCTGCATCTACCAACATGGCTCAGACTAGAAGTTAGTGACTTCAAGCACTGATGCCACGTTTTGGTTTGGCCGCCCCTAACTTTCTTCCAACCATCCCAACACCGGTTAGCATTGCACGTCGTGGTAATCGGTGTTCGGGCATACGTAACACGTGGCCCAACCATCTCAGTCGATGAAGATTCACAACCTCATCAACTGATTTACCATCATTCCCTAATACCCTGCGTCTAACCTCACTATTACTTACCCGGTGATCCCAGCAGACGCCAGCAATATTTCTAAGGCATCTGTGGTCAAATACTAGTAGCTTACGAGTGTCTTCTACTCTTAATGGCCATGTTTCGCTGCCGTAAATTAAAACAGAACGGACTGCCGCGCAGTATACTCGTCCTTTTATTGATAGACGGATATCTCGCCTTCGCCATAGGTGACGTAAGTTGGCAAAAGCCAAACGAGCTTTTCGAATCCGTGCTGAGATTTCGTCAGACACCAACCCATTAGGGCTGATCAGACTTCCAAGATAAGTGAAGTTGTCAACGCGTTCGACTACTTCACTCCCTATCCTTAGTTCAGGTGTTGACGCAGACCAGTCCTGAAGCAACAACTTGCATTTAGAGGGAGAGAAGCGCATTCCAAACATTCTGGCATTGTTGCTTAGTGCTACCAAAAGACTCTGCATTTTATCAGCGTCTTCACCAAACAGGACTATATCATCTGCGTATTCTAAGTCGATAAGTGGACCTCCTGGAAGGAGATCAATACCCGAGAATGTTATTTCCATCAATAGGTCTATGATGAAGTTAAACAAAAATGGAGAAAGTGGACAGCCTTGACGGACACCACTTGAGGTTGCAAAGGCAGATGACAGTTCGCCATAAGCTCTCACTCGACTGGTCGAGTAAAGAGCCTTCACAAGGTTTATGTACTTCTGAGGTACGCCTTTCAATGACAGACACTGCCACAGAATCTCGCGGTCTACCGAGTCAAATGCTGCTTTTAAGTCAAGAAAGACCACCATTGTCGGACGCCGATAAGTATGCCTATGTTCTAGAACCTGACGAATGGTGAATATGTGGTCGATGCAGCCACGACCAGGTCTGAAGCCAGCTTGATTCTCTCGTGTTTGCAGTTCACGAGTCTTAGTTAGGCGTCTGATAATTATCGAGGCTAGTATTTTAGATACTATATTAGTTAAACTAATCCCTCTATGGTTGTCACAGGATGATTTTAACCCTCTCTTATATATTGGGACGATAAGTGATTGTGACCAGTCAGATGGAATAACGTCTAACTCCCAGATCTTAGCTAAAATATTAGTCAACCTAATCGCTAAAATTGGACCACCATCCTTAAAGACCTCTGGAGCCAATCCATCTGGACCAGCTGCCCTTCCTCGTTTCAGATTAACTATAGCCTTTTGAACTTCTGCTAGAGTTGGGGGACCTACTTCAATGTTCCATTCACACTGTCTGGGAATGGAGGGTAGTTGTAGAGTAGCTGAAGGCCAGCTGAACTGTTCTCTGAAATGTTCCGCCCATCGTTCTAAACGTCTGGACTGAGAGCAGATGAGGGTGTCGTCTTTTTCCGAAATAGTCTGACTTACACTTGACTTATTAATTCCAGTTTCTTTTATTAGTCTGTAGAGCTGTCTTGTGTTCCCTATAGCCGCCGCCTTTTCCATCTCTTTTGCTTTCGTTGCCCACCACTGCTCACGGTCGTTCCTTAGACTTTTGGTTAACCTAGATCTGATTTGTTGTCGCTCTTCATCGTGTTCAGAGCCTGATGGGATGAGTTTACGAGAATTCATCAGTGCAATAGACCTTGAGGAAATCCATTGGTTCTTTGTAACCCTCATGCATAAATACATAAAAAGTGTTAACTTCTAAGGTTTGTAGAGAACTGTATAGTTTGTAAATTATGGATACAAACTTAGTCGTTCAAAGGTAACAAGATCGCCTAAAAACTCGTAGGTCCTGGATCTGATCCATGTGGGTATCGTGAATATACATTTCTCAGAAGTCTCACATTACAACGAAATGAGTATCCGGTCATTCTTTGTTTTCAGTGGTACCCAAACGGATGTCAACCTTTAATGAGCAAAACAACCACAAAAAGCACCTACTTCCAAATTAATACTATGACAAAAAGTAATTCATTGATCGCTTTTTTAAAAATGACACATATTCTTGCCCCTTGTACATATGTTTAAAAGATTATGATGATAAGCTACAACGCGATTAGTACATAATACTCGATAGGAACAAGTATAACACTAGATATAATTCAAAATTGGTAATGTGAAGCATTTGTCGGCAAATGCAGAACACCTTTTCGAAGTAAATGCTCAGTCATAACAAGTCTAAGCCTTCTCCATCCAAGCACGATAATCAAATAAATGAGAATACTGAGTATAATGTAAATGTTTAATTAACACGAAAATAAAAGTGTTCAAAATGGTGGTGAGCGCAATATTGTAGCCATTAATCACTAATGTCCGACTAAGCGGTTGGAGGTGATCGGCATGCCTGCATTTTTGAGGGAACAAGTTCTAGATTCGCAACCGGACCAGTCAGAGATATTACTACTGAGCTATTCCAGACGCGACTGACCACCCGTACGACTGAGATAGTAAACAGTTTAATGCTTGTTTAATGTACATATCGTAAGTCATCTAGACCATTGGTACATTATAACTTAATCGAAAGAATTAAATCGCCACAACTGGGTAAGAAAAACTCTACGTTGGTCATTTAGTCAGTCAAACGCAACGTAAAAAGTGGTACATTTTTAAGCTGCAATACCACATTAGCACAGCTAGTTGAGATTATTAGTGCGAATCCCAGAGTAGTAAAGATTGTAACAGTAATATGAGATATTAGGGATTCAAGATACCATTCGAGAAAATAAAAACTAGTGAATTGATAGTAAAATTGCTACTGTTTGCTGGTCAATCAATCCATAGACAGTAATTATCCATTTAAAATATTTTTCTGACACTTCCCTTTTTAGCCTATATGAACTATATAGCAGTTATTAACTGAATGATATTCGATTAATAATAATAATAATAATAATAATAACACTTTAGCATTTTTTTATTGTCTTGATTTCTACAACATACGGAAAGAGAGAAATAAACGAGAACATCGACAATATATGTTGAAATAAGTTATTACAAGTAAAAGAATGAAATGAGAAGATTGAAAATAACAATATACTCTAAGCTGGATGGTGTGCTCGTGGAGCTTCATTGTTCTTTCAAACAACATCACCAGTACAAACTTAGGGTAGACATGAAGTGTTGTTGTTGAACAATGAAAGATCCACGACCAAACCATCGAGCTCAGAGAAGAAAACTCCACCTAAATAATCCACCTGAGCTACAAATCTTCTCCATCTCAATCACAATATCCCCTCTAAAATGACTTAACGGAATAAAAAATAGCAAATTTCTGCTTTCTTATGATCGAAAATAGACTGCATTAGCTGTATTTCACTCAACACAGATTTCTAACATGTTTTGGATGTTATCCATGACTGAAGAAAATTCTAAGCTGTATGTAAAGGAATTACATTCTTTTAGATGATATCGATTAGAAAACAATATTTATGTATACCATGTGGTTCTAGAAAAATCAAGACAAAATATTGTAAAAAAAGATGAAATCTAATCAGTTAGAACCTGGAATACATAGTGTACACTGGTTTAATTTACCATACAGCATAAATAATCCTAGTCTGCTGAAATTATCAAGATTGATATGAATGTAGTCGGAGGAATGGAAATAGCATCAATGGTAGTAGAAAACGCTAACTACAGACAATGTAATTTGATAAGAATGGATGAATTTCAGCAGTAAAAATTATATAGTTTTATAACTCGACAGTTGACGGAAGAAAATGAGTAAATACATCTGCATTGATAATAGTTGATTCTGAGTTATGTCATCCCTCGTCTACAACCATTAATTAAATTAACCAAGCTGACACCAACTAGGTAGTTTGCATCTACCAACATGACTCAGACGAATAATCAATGACTTCATGAACTGATGTAATATGTTGGTTTGGCTCCCCTGGGTTTCTTTCAACCTAGACCTAATACAACTAGATTTTTGTTCAGCATTAATCCTGTTTAAATTCAATGTGATGATTACTCAGTATAGTATTTGTTTTGCTTTCCCGTAAGACATTTTATTCTATATAACATACGATATCCTTGTATTAAGTTAACATGAACTAAACTCAGTATATGATTTGTTATAACTAAGTATTTATCATATATGTGACTTTATTCTAATTATTAATCAAAATGGATGTATAAACCAATGTATAAGTGCGTGTATTTCCAACTAGACTCGTTGCGGTTGTTCGTGATTCTGGCTGCTAGTTGAATATATATCTCTCTTCCAAATCTGGACATCCCTCTCGAGTTAGCGGGGATGAGACGCGTAGGAATGGATAACTTACGTGTCATTGTATCACAGTCTTAATTCCGTTTCCAAAAAAGTTGAACTCGTGATCTCTTCAAACATAGTATAATACATGAATTGACATACACACACCAACCAATTAAATTCCGCATAGTTTTATCCTGTAGCCAATTTGATAATATTGAATCGAATGATCATATTCGCAGAGAATAGTGAGATGTTTAAACGAAACTTATAGGTAAATAAAAATCGTCCCATAGTCAACAATCTTCAGTAGTCATTTAAAATAATATCGGCTACCTAGTAAGAACCCGGATGAAAGACGCAGCAGACACGCAACTTAGAGATCAACAGGCTGGATTCCGTAAAGATCGGTCGTGCACGGACCAAATTGCGACACTACAGATCATCGTCGAACAATCAGTTGAGTGGAACTCGTCACTGTACATCAACTTCATTAGTTATGAGGAAGTGTTCGACAGTGTAGACAGGAGAACATTATGGAGACTTCTCCGACATTAAGGAGTTCCTGAGAAGATTGTCAACATGATTCGGAACTCATACGACGGATTACAGTGCAGCGTCGTGCATGGAGGACAGCTGACAGACGCATTCGAAGTAAGGACCGGAGTCAGACAAGGCCGTATACTCTCTCCATTCCTCTCTCTTCTGGTGGTCGACTGGATTATGAAGACCATGACATCTGAGGGAAAACACGGCATACAATTGACAACTCAGAACCAATTAGACGATTTGGACTTCGCAGATGACCAAGCCCTCCTATCCCATGCACACGAACAAATGCAGATAAAGACAGCCAGTGTAGCAGCAGTCTCTGCATCAGTAAGCCTCAACATACACAAGGGGAAAACCAAGGTCCTCGAATTCAAAACAGGGAACAGCAATCCAATCACTCTTGATGGCGAAACTCTGGAAGATGTAGAATCCTTCACATACCTGGGAAGCATCATCGATGAGCAAGGAGGATCAGATGCAGACGTAAGGGCGAGGATTAGCAAAGCAAGGGTCGCATTCCTACAGTTGGAGAACATACGAAACTCAAAACAACTGTCAATCAATATCAAAGTCAGGATCTTCAATACGAACGTCAAGGCAGTTCTACTGTACGGAGATGAAACTTGGAGAACTACTACAACCATCATCAAGAAGGTACAAATATTTATAAATAGTTGTCTACGCAAGATACTCAATGTCCGTTGGCCGGATACCATCAGAAACAACCTACTACTGTGGGAGAGAACAAACCAGCTTCCAGCTGAAGAGGAAATTCGGAAAAGACGATGGAAATGAATAGGACATATGTTACGTGAATCATCAAACTGCATCACAAGGCAAGCCATAACTTGGAATCTGAAGGTAAGCATAGAAAAGAGGAAGGCCAAAGAACACATTACTTCGAGAAATAGAAGCAGATATGAAAAGGATGAATTGGAACCGGAAGAAGCTGGAAATATCTACCCAGGACAGGGTTGGATGGAGAATGCTGGTGAGCGGCCTATGCTCCTTCACGAGGATTAACAGGTGTAAGCAATTAAGCTAGTAGGGACGGAATTTTAGATGTTAATAAGTAGAAAAAAACATGTTTACGAAAGCTCAACAGCAACAAACTAACAATTATTAGTATGGGGATTTGGAGACATTAATAATAATGGTAATAATAATCATAATAGTAGTAGTACTAATGATAAAAGTCATAATAGTAGCAGTAATATTAAGGGTAAAGAAATAGCAATAACAACAATAATAATTTTGTAGTAGTAGTAGTAGTAGTCGTAGTAGTAGTAATATCAATAATAGGGGTAATAATAATGGTAATAATAGTAGAGATAATAGTAATAATGGTAGTGGTATTAATAGGCGTAATAGTAATTATAATAATAGCAATAATAGTAGTGGTAATAATAATAATAACGGTGAGTGCTTTAAATAAAACTTTACAAATTAAAAATAAGTGAAATATTAAACCACTTCATTTAATAGTGATTGTTAAGTGGACCGACCGATATATTATTAATGAAAATACCATTAAATTATCATCATCCAATGGGATAAACACTGATTATATGAATAATGAATAAGCGATAATGGATATCATAACTTAAACTAGTAGTCCCTGTATTGATTATTGCAGACTCACGTAAAGAAATCAAATGAATTTCGATTTTAGAAGAAATGACAGGAAATATCTTGTAGTCAACATTTCTCAGAAAAACATGAGTGATTAGGATGAAATCTCCCCCAAGATTATTGATTTTTAGCTCGATAAAAACGAGTCATAAGAAATAAATTGTATCGTAACTACTATGATTGAAAAAGTTGTTTTAAATACACAATTCGGCCCACAATTCTACCTGATAACAAGAGCCTTAAAATCAATAGGTGAGATCATAAAGTCAACTGCCTATAGTAATATTGGTCAAAATTAACACGCTATAGACAAGAAGGATTGACTGAGTTACTAAGTATAAATATACTGAATTACTTTTGAGCTATACCTTATTTGTGTGACGGTTCGCGATACAACCTGATTGGAACCAGAGACCGTACTGATTTGAAAACATCTATGATTAATTAGATCGAACCTATGTACATGTTTTCTACCTAGAGTAGACATATTTTAAAATAGAAAACTAGTGCAAGGAGTTGCTGAGCAATATCTTCGTCCTCTGACAGATAGATAACCCGTCTTGTAGTACAAGTACAAGTCGAGCGACCTCTTTTATATTCATGAAGAGATTTCATTAACCCAACACAAAAATACGTCTTCAAGATAACTAAAAAGGTAATATAGATTATATATGTAAGACAAAATACTCAATTGAATTTCATACGATAGATTTTGCTACGGCTTTGGATTTTATTTAGGCAAAACTGCTTGCTTATTAAGAAGCAAAGGAGATAGAACTATGTCAGTCAAAAAACTAGATTTTTGTGGTGAATAATTCAATTCAACAACCTAATCTAGATGGGATGCACCATAAAACCACAAAACCATACTGAACACAGATAATATTTACTTAAGAAAACATCCTGAGCTGAAACCCCAGCAGTTTTGGAATGATGGAGATTTTCAGTTCAAGTGAATACTTTTATCGTTTTTGAGCTTTATGAGCTAGACAGTATAAATGCAATGGCTTTTTAGACATTTTGGGCAATATTATCACGACTTACTTCATGTAGAAGTGTTTTCCAGAACAAAAACAACATATGTACACATATATGTGAACCTTAACAGCCAGAACTGGCTCCTTCAATCGAAAAATTAATTCGATTAAAAAGGTTCAGTGTGTTCTGTTATTTTTGAAAAAAGGTAAGTGGAGAAAAGGCTGGAGCTTGAAATGACACCCTCAGTGAAAATTAGGAATCTGAACCATTAGTTTAGGTTCAGTTTTGAATACTCTATGAGAATCATTAAACTAGGAATAGAATAATTGATGAATATGTGTGCAACAGTCAATAGGTTAATCAGTTTTAATCAAAGTAAAAACCTGATGAATATTGTGCATCGATTCATATTTCCACAGGAAATTAGCAAACCAAAGTTAAATTATCAATGTGAATACCAAAGTAGCAGTATCAATGTGATTATAAAAAAATGAGACATAGGAAATGAGATTCAAAAAGGAAGAATGAGTAGATAATGATAAACAAAACTCCAAAGTATGAACTAATTAAATGTAAAGTTGGAACTAGAATACGGATAGACAGCTTAACGTAATATATATATATATATATATATATATATATATATATATATATATATATATCCGCTCGCTATACACAACAATCCACTGTTTTAAAAAATATCGTACTGTTTGACATTTATTCACAAAAAATACCTTAATAATAAGCATATATATATATATATATATATATATATATATATATATATATATATCAATAATTGTAACAAGAAATACAAGAAATAACTATAAATTGGTACTTACACGTCTAAATTCATCTCGAATTCTTTCCTCCAAATTGTCTAATTTATTCCTTATTTCTAATTATGTATGTGAAATAATAATATTAATATTAATCGTCATTATTATTATTATTATTATTATTATTATTATTATCATAATTATAACTATAATAATATGGTAAAAAAAACTATGATTTACGCATAGTAGATTTGCAATGTCAAAACAAGTCATGCTAGATGTAAACTAGAATAAGAGATAGAATAATTAGTAAGCACAAAAAAGCCAAGCAACTTTTTTATAATTAAGAGCTCTTTGAAACGAAAGAGAATAATTTTTAACTTATTAACTTTAAAAAGTAATAATAATATCTACAAGGCGGATGGAACTATTAAAAATTTTGGAAGAAAATTAATACGCAAGATATTTTGTCCGACGTTGAGATATGCTATATTTTGAGTGTGACAGCTAAAGATATTGAGCTGTAATAGAAAATATAAGCGAAGGATAGGAAAATGCATTTTCAACAGACGGTCTATTTCTCGATCAAGGAAATCAGTCTTTACAATAGTCATCAAGAACAATCAAAAACAGTGATCCATGGGACACTAACCTTGTAGCAACGGATCCTTATCAGCACGAATAATGAACTCATTTCGTTGGTTCACATAGTCCAAATCTATGTTGGATTCCACTAGATCTTTAAACAGAATGAAGTTATCCATGGCTTTCTTAGGAGAGCAGAGATAAAAAAATATATAAAAAGTAATGCATTTATCATGTTTATTGATGCGTAAATTCATGATAGATATTACTTTTGAAAAGTTCACCGATGACTTAAGTTTAAAACCATTGTGAATATAGCTGATCAAATGTCGAGGGATTTTTGATTAATGACAGCAGCTATGATTTTAGTTAGTCCCCATTTTTGGTACTTGTATCTGAAGAGATAAAAACACTGAAATTTTACTCTTAGTTTTGATCCACATTTATTTAAATGTGGTTTGGTTCCAGTTATGATCTCATAAAGCTCTTTGTTTTTGCTTATTTAAGCTGAATTCTCGCACACAATTAAACCACAAGACTTGATCTATTTCCTGCGATCTGAAAAAGAAAACTCAAATGGCTCTTTGCTCTACGAGAAAGGTAATCTGTTTTTGAATGCTATTCAGTCAGATGCTACTATTATACCCACCGGAAAGCAAAGATAATTAGGTTATTGTGGATTTTAATCACAATCTGTACTTGAAATTCATCTGTTTTACTGGTGTACCTACTTTTAAAAATTTTCTATGCAAAGCAGTTGGCTTTGTTTGGCATTTCATGCTATCGAATCAATATTATAATAAGGCTACAACTTTTCCGTTTGTTGTCTACCTAATCCTTTCTATTATTACTGGTATTGTTAAACTTTCTAACAATCTGGGATTTATCTTGATAATTTCATGTCGCTATGCTAGTGTAGTGTGACAACTTACACCGATTCACACATGTGACAGGTCCTACATTGAGTATGACTGACTGACTGACTGTAAACAAACCTAAAATCATCGCTTCTCGTATGCTTATGTGGATGTATTTTGTAGTAGTGTCTCGTAACAAGTTTTCAGTTGAGTTTTGGTTTTTACATTATTATTGAAACTCATGTTAATTATTTTCTGTTCATGAAGCGGTGGCATAGGATGATCATGTAATCAGTAAAATACCCTGAGGCCTGCAATATATATGGTATAGTTTCAAGGGTTTCTAACAGAAATATATACAACTTGTAGAAACTTTTGGATCTTACCAGTAGCCCGAAATTCGACGTCGTTAATACGTGTCAGTCATAGTGAACAAAGAGCCTGGCACATTTGATGCTTGAACAACCAGTTAGAAATAATCAACAAAGAGACAGACAAAAATGTATGTCAACGAAAGCTGCTTGATAAGGGTGAACTCAGAAAGATAGATATCAAAATAGAGCTCGGCTCAAACAGGCGTTAGTCTAAGTTGTCATATCACATTAGGTCGACGAAATGAAATTAACAAGATGTACGTCAGAGAAACCGAAATAATGTAGCAGCAACCATAATAAGAAAGAATAAACATTAAGAATGTGGTTCGAAAAGTTGATGGGAAGGTATGTATGGAGGAATATTGGGAACACTGATCTATAGAGGTAGCATGTGAATGCATGCGCGCCACTGAGGTCGACTGTGAGCGTCGTGGTAATCGGCATTCATGCATACATGAGAGGCTATAAGCTCTGACTAGACTGTTAGTGATCGAGTAAAGAGCCCTCACAAATTTTACGCACTTCTGAGGTTTTTTTTTCAGTGACAGACAGTGCCACAAAACTTCTCAGTCTACATGATCACCTGCTACGGGTACTGTCTCAGCGTTTAGCTTTTTGAAGAGTTAGCATATTGGAGCAAACACAGAGACGATAAAAAGATGACAATCTGTGTTCCAATTTTTTCGAGTTCTTTCGGAGCCATTTAACCGAACTGTGCATAGGCGACTGTTAACGAGGATCCATCCTAAGTGCTTGTTCTGCCCTCGTACACAGTGCTATGCCTCTACTCGCCAGTCTACGAAAAAGAGCCATCAGGTCGCTAGACAAAAGAGTGTATCTTGTCGTCTCTCTGTTTTGTCGAGGTTAAATTAATTTAACGACCACGCTAGAATCCGGAGACGGATATTCGTGGGATAAGGCGAGGTGTGCATCTTTAGGGTCGAACCTTTCTAAATTCACCCCTGCTTGTGGGAAGACAGCATCCCTATTATTCTAATTATCTGAAGAGAACACTTAACTGCTGTCACACCTCTGTACAGTTAGCAGTACGACTTCGCCATCGAACCTTTGGTTCGCTGCTTTTAGTCCTACCGCTCTTGAACCGACCTGTCTGGTATAGTAGGAGCTTGAGGAACGATTGTTCCAACCAGTATAGCTCAATTGCTTTTTTACGATAGGCGAACCCGACCAACATGTAAAGGTAGAAGCAACGGTCGGGAGATTTCAGTATAGTGATAATAATTAAATTGGATAAATTCCAGATCTAGTATCAAAGACGAATCGGAGATCTTAATAAAGTGATAAGTTTATTTTCATATTTATTGATCAACGTTCGATATGATAGTCTAAGTTTAAAGTATATGGCACAGTATTTTTGATTGTCTAGGTGATATACAAATCACATAGGCTATAAATAAACTATGTAAAACTAGGAACAAGTGAATGACTACATAAAAAGAATGATAATTCCTAGTTATTGTTAGTTATTAAACAATGTGATTACAATCTAGTGTTTTCAGACTCCATTTAAGTAGTAACAGAGAGTAGAAATTTACTGTGTTCAAAGTTTTTCTTTTCAATTGCATGCCACATTTTAATGCAATTCGAAACATATATTTATATACAACTAGCAGAATTATTTGTTCATTACGAGTTATGTTCAGATTCGGTCATACGCCAATTTCAGATTTATACATAGATAAATTGTAACAAATTTATTTTTATTCTCCCTATTAAAAAAATTCAGATAACAGATTATAAAAGTTTATGTTCTCAACCACTCAAAGTTGTGAAATTCGATAAAGTACAAATATTGGGAACATTGATTATGGTTCGTAATGCGACCGAATGAGCGATGTTGAGGCTAGACACAAACTATTAGGCAGAGAGAGTAGTGTTGAGGATGCTAGATTCTCAGAACTCGCTTAATAAATGTTTTGTTTTTTTTAATTTTATTTTGGATATTTGAATTTCTTATTTTCACGCCAATAGCGCCCATTTTCACCTTCATATCCTACTTCATATTCGGTTTGTAGTCTCTTTTAATATGATATTTCATGATGTTTTCCATGGACATTTCTATGCTGTATATATACGCTTAAGTTGTGCTTGTTGATGTTGCTGGTGCTTTTGGCTGCTTGTGGAATATATTTCCCTTTTTCTGAACCTGGACCTCACTCTCTAGTTAGCGGAGCTGGGACGCATCAGAATAGCTAGCTTCTGTGGTCATTGTGTCGCTGAATCTCCGTTTCTTTTGCAGATTTAGGTGAGCTCGTAATCCCTTCAAACATAGCAGGCGGATTAATTGATTAGGTAGTAGATCTTCATCAACTGAGGTGATGAATGTATTACTGATGTCGAACAACAGCCTACTTCGATATTTGGTGGTATAGGAACTAGTTGAAAAAATATGGAGATTAAAAGCATATAACTGGAACTAGTCATTGACTGTTGGTCTGAGCCACGTTAGCAAGGGTAGACTACTTGATAGCGATTAGATTGATAATCACGATAGCTTATTGGAGATATTGTGTGCTGTGGAAGATACGTTTACTCTTTTTTTGTAAATCTTGATTTGCAGTATTTCTTCAAGAATAGCTTTTCATTTTGTCTTTTCGAACAGTACTCTCAATGTTCAATATTTCACATTACCATTGAAACTAACATTAATGCGATTTAATTTGCTATTCTTTTTAATTTCATCACGTCGTGTTGATGCGATAAGATCGCTTAAAATGATGTTAACAATATTTTAAAAACGTTTCACGGTGCATTTTTCAGCATGCCTGGATATTCATCATGTATGAATGGAAACTGTGATGAAATAGTAACACACCATCGATATAATAAATTTGAAAAAAAAAAAACACGACAAATATTCATAAATAGATATAAATACTTAAAACATTTATATCCAATCTATGTGAAATAAACAACAGGTTGTAAACATAAATATTAATTCACATGAATATAAAGATGCTATTTTCGTGCATATTTTCAAAAAAAAACCTTTCTGTTCAACGGAAAATAGTAAACATTTTGAAATATTATTTTTAGTAATAATAACGATAATAATAGTAACAATGAAAAATGAAAAGTATTCTGTGGAAAGAAACAGGCCATATATTGTTATTTTGTTTACACAATGAAGGTTAAGGGAATTAAGACATTATCTGCTTACAAAAACAGTAAAGCTAAATTTGTTTTGTAACTGATAAACACATCTGTTAATGCGCAATAAAGGAAAAATGTAAGCGTAGTGCACAACTTTCCACATTCATATTTATGATACATATAAAAATCACACTGATTACAAATGAAGCTAGGGAAAGAAGTTTCGTCAGATTTATAACTCAATAGCTGGAAATTGAGAATAGATATATCAATGTTGTTATAACGGGAAAAGATTAAATTACGGGAAACTCCCGGAGACTATTTATAGACTGTTAAATAACTAGATTATGTTTATATTCTCTTTATCATAAGCTTTTATTTGACCTATTAACTACTATTATACGATTTAATATTCCTAAGTTATTCTCAATATGTTAGTTGCAGTCTCTCATAATCACAGCCACTTTTTGGCTTGTTCTCGTATAATTGTTATTTCTTATTTTATGGTGTGGTCTGGTTTACTTGTACATAAACCAAGTATGTCCGAACCATATGATTCATACAGTGGAAGCTGTGTTTCGGAACATAACAAAAAGGCTAGGTGGGAAGAACCAAAATTGGCACTGGGCTGCTCAAACTGGCTAACACGTCATTGGTTTGACACAGTCGGTGTTTTGATTGGCGATATTAACATGTGACAATTAAAAATGGACAAAAATCATTGCTCGAATCTCAACACTACAGTGATCTTGAGCGTTGTTAGAGGTATGAGGGAAGTCATCACTTCACAGTTGCCCACATTGTAGAAGGGTTCTTTTAGAGGCACCTGAAAAAGAACTTGGGTAAGTAGTGGGTTTAGTGACCGGAGAGTGTGACCGCAGTGTCCAAGAGACAACTGCTTGAGCTCGGTTACAGATGATCTTTTTATGATTAATTTCCGTGTTAGTTCCGTAATTGCTGGGATGAGGTGTGCATTTTTAGGGTCGAACCTTTCTAAATTCACCCCTGCTTGTGGGAAGACAGCATCCCTATTATTCTAATTATCTGAAGAGAACACTTAACTGCTGTCACACCTCTGTACAGTTAGCAGTACGACTTCGCCATCGAACCTTTGGTTCGCTGCTTTTAGTCCTACCGCTCTTGAACCGACCTGTCTGGTATAGCAGGAGCTTGAGGAACGATTGTTCCAACCAGTATAGCTCAATTGCTTTTTTACGATAGGCGAACCCGACCAACATGTAAAGGTAGAAGCAACGGATCATGGTTGAACAATCAACTGAATAGAAGTCGTCACCGTACATCATCTTCCTTCATTATGAGAAAGCGTTTGACAGTGCGAATGGGTGAAATATATGGTACCATCTCCTACACTGTGTCGTATCTAAAAATATCAACAACATAATATGGATTAATACGACGAACTACACTGCTCGGTTTTAACAGCATGGATATTACTATTTTTCGGGGTTTTCCATCTAGTTCCTACCATTGCAGTGCCCTGCTTTAAATTTAGCAAGCGTTGGCAATGCAGTGATCATCTGTAGTACCATTTCATCATCAATACTGGATAATAATCGAGTTCGAACATCGGCATCTATGGAAGACTATAGTCCAGAAACAAACAATAAGCATTTAAATTGGTCATTTGATAATGTACTGAATTTAAGCGTTCAACTTGTAGATTAATCCTGCTTGCGTACGTCAGATAATCTTCACCAGCGTCCTTTTTTAACTGGAGGCATCTATAACGAATATGAAATAACAAAGCTTGTTCACAAAATATCTTGTTCAAAATACCAACGGTTTCATCAAAACTCAACTCCCTTGGGTGTCTTGGCAGGATAAAATTTCCATATTTAGTGTCCTTGTGGGTCAAGTTTTTGTGATACCAATCTTACGTTTCTTTCATCTGAGAAAGATATTCCATGCTAGCGAACCATAATTCAAATATATGACCACTTTCCGAATCAAAAATAAGTTTTGGGACTAATTTAAGTAATGGTTCTATTTCCTCATCTTTTGCAGTGCATTTGAACTGGATTGAAGATTTTGATGTAAGTGATGTAAGCATCTGTTCTTGAGAAGCTAAAAATTGACTCTGCTGTTGCTGAAGAAATAATTGCATTTGCTCCATTAAAGTTGACATATTGATTTTCTTCTTCTGCATGAGTCAGGACAGTAATAAGAAAAAGACTGAATGACTAATTAATAACTAATGTCGTGCAAGGACACCGACAACAGCTCTGTACGTTGTGTTCAAATAATTACACTGATTCTCGTTCAACTACTGGATGGCCTCGATTCCTTTGTGAAAGTCGAGGTCGTAGACTTTTCATCCCGTCGCCAACTTGTTGTCCTATTGTCCATCAAATAACATGTGATAAAATCGCCTTTTTGAATACCGACTTATATAACCTTGTCCCTTTGCTAAAGCAATGATGTGTTAACCAGCACGAACAGCCTTCAGTCAACTCTCAATTCTTATTGGTCCTCCGTATAGCAACTTCTCGCCTAGCCCAGCCCGTTCAGTCTAGAACAAAAATATCAGACTCCACTGTGTGGATCGTATATTTCAGACATACTCGGTCTACATACAAGCAGACCAGACAGCATCATAATACAGAATGAAAAAGAAGTGTCATACAAGACCACGCCAAAAGTATCTGTGAACGTGGGATACTGTGACCGATATGTTGGGAACAAGTTAAGAATGGCAAATAGTATTGCGGTAGCCAAATGAAAGCTTATGACCAAAGGAATGTAAACATATAATCTAGTTACTTAACAGTTATTCTTCGGATGTAACAACGTTAAAAGGAGGCAATCAACAGATGTAACTTCCTATATAGTGGGAACACTACAGTAATAATTATTCATATACTTATTTTTATAATGGCTAAAATACAATTGATCTAATTTTCAAGAGTTGGGAATAATATGAACCTAGGTATTAAAGACGTTTAGAGCGTGAATGGGTCCATTGACTAATACTTTTTACTTAATAGAAATAAAATTTGCATATCAACTACTACTATGGCAAGTTTTGGACATTTGATCTATGATTTTATGCACACCAAGTGTACGAAAAATACTAGTCCATTTTTTTTGTACACATTTATACTACTTAGTTTGTTGTTAATAGTTTAATAACTGGTAGCTATAGAAGAAAATAATATATGAGTAATAAATTCTTGACACAATTTGCTGTTACTACTTTTATTGTTAAATAATAATAATAATAATAATAATAATAATAATAATAATAATAATAATAATAGTAATTATAATCATTTGAATGATTTGATTGTTAGTTGAAGCAAGTAAAATAGTTTCCATAATTATAGGCAATTCATCATATTTGTGTGTGGGCTGTGAAACTGCCCGGGTGCCCAAACCGAAGCAGGTGGTTTTCTTAGGGGGCCAAACCCGAGCCTTTGACCTAGTGGTCTAACCCACAAGGCAGTGGAGCATCGTAAGAAGATGCAGTCCCATGGAAGCCGGTGACCAACAATTGGTTCATACGCCATTTGTTCCCGCAGGATACTGGAGCCCATGTGAACCATTGGTTCGGAATCCGGTTAAAGCGCCGGACATTCGCTTTTCGTCCTCTCATTTTCGTAAACAACACCCCGGCCACGAGAAGATAGTGAGTAGGACTTCCCTGGCAGAGGCTTTATACGCGTGGCCATGTGAGAGCATTTCGAGAGGGAGGGCGGACTCTACCCACTTTCGGCCGTATATATATATATAATAACAGTCTATAAATATTTTCCAGAAGTTACACATAATTTAATCATTTTCGGATACAAAAGAACTGATTTTATTTCATTTCACTTGAGATTTTCAACCACGACTAACTGGAAACTATCACTTGGGCACTTTACAAATGATACCGATTAATTAAAAAACATAGAGATATGAAGTTTCACAATTTCTGAATCTTGAATATTATTTGGATGATTACAGTCGAATATATGCATGAAATAAGTAAAAAATATAGACGTAGAATTAACAACTAATTTACTTGTAAAGGTGTTATAAGACATTCGTAAACTGTTGATCGTTTGGATCCAGTGTATTGATTCAATAGTGAAACAGCATATGGTAAGCGTAAAACAGCTTGATATATACGATAGACATCCTAAAGTGTGTAGAAATATAAATGAAGAATATTTTTGATAATAAACATAACCTTGGTATTTACGAAATCAGATATAACTGATGAGGTAGTAAATATTTTTCAACTGAGGTTAGTGAGACATATGCTACATACCCCCAACCACCACTAACCTCGAAGCAAATGATGGCAAATGTAGTAAGTTGAAATAAAGCTAGTGTGGTCAAATCAGGACGTGACATCAATTCGTGTAAACAATCCCTATTCGACTGGGCATTTAAGCGCGTACACACTACCTGGTTGGAATCCACTGGATTATAGCAATCAATGTTCAGAAACTTCGAACGACAGCTCGATATTATCTGCAACGGCGCATTGCATTCACTCTTTGTATTCCTTACAATCTTAGGTTCGTGATTCCTCATAAATTTATTTTTAAATATCTCAATAGCTTATAATTTTTTCTCGAATTGTATCTTGGATACCTAAACTTTCATATTACCATTATTTATTTATTTTAACACATAGATATTGGTACAATGAGGCACCGAATACATATGCTCCACACAAATTTCATTCGATATGTGTGAGGGCTGTGATACTGCACGGGTTCCCAAACCGAAGCAGGTGGTTTTCTTAGGGGGCCACACCCTGAACCTTCGACCTGAAGGTCTGATCCACAAGGCAGTGGAGCATCGTAAGAAGATGCAGTCCCATGGAAGCCGGTGACCAACAATTGGTTCATACGCCATTTGTTCCCGCAGGATACTGGAGCCCATGTGAACCATTGGTTCGGAATCCGGTTAAAGCGCCGGACATTCGCTTTTCGTCCTCTCATTTTCGTAAACAACACCCCCGCCACGAGAAGGCAGTGAGTAGGACTTCCCTGGCAGAGGCTTTATACGCGTGGCCATGTGAGAGCATTTCGAGAGGGAGGGCGGACTCTCCCCACTCTCGGCCGTACCAGGGCATTACAATTAATACTGTTATTAATTCAACTACTCTGAGATTCACTTTGACATTCTCTTCTGGCTATGCAGATGAGCTATGGTAAATTGAGTCTATGTACACGCATACCGCGTCCTATGTTGCGTTTAACTGACCGGATACACTTGCGAAAATAGATATATTATGCAAGCTTTCTTGAGGATAACTGACAGAGGAATCAAAAATTTTATAATTGTGATTGATAGGGTTTTGATGAAGAGATGCATTAGATTCGAAGACTTAAATAATTAACAGACAGCCGATATCGCATTTATTTTGCTCTACACATAGGCGAATATTATTATTCGTCTTTGACCAGATATATTTGAAACAGAAAGAAGGCATAGTTGACTTCGCCATGCTCTCATAAGAACACATATCCTGAAAGAGAAGTATATAACATCCATTAAATGTTGTTCCAGCGACTCTTATTCATTTCGTTGATTTTATTCTATGTCTCGCTGTAATCAGGGATATTAAAAAACTAACGAATATAATCCTAATCTTAATCAACTATATACAAGTGAATCATAACAAACAGTCATGCTAATAATGGTGTAAATATCATACCCGTTGCATAAATTAGTGGTTATCTGGACTCAGTAGCTCAGTAAATAGTGTGTTGACGTTCGAAACGAAAGGCATTAAGTTCACATCCTAATATGAACATCAACACTGGAATACGGAAGCACACCCAGATGATCAGTCGCGAATAGGAAGAAATGTGCATTTTGAATTTCCCTGTTAGCCACAATCCATCTACTCTAAAAAACCATAAAGTCTGGTTCATGTTATAGGCTAACTGACGGTTAGTAAACTCATCTTCTAAAAATGTGTGTGAGCATTCTAGTTTCCCATAAAACATGATAGACTCATTTTGTAAAAGCCAAACATCTCAAACTTGATTGGTCTTTAGACAAAGAACCAATGAATCAAATTCTCCTAGCTACCAACCTACGATAGATGGAAATCTATATATACATATATAGAGTGAGTATATTTTAATTAACCATTCTACAACTGATTTAATTAAAATAAACAAATCATCAGAAAAAAACAGAAGGGAGAAAACAAACTAAAGGTTTTCTTCTTTGTTAAAAAATAAACACGCAAGAAAGTCGTAAATAAAAACTATGATCTATATAAAATGCTTCACGCTTATTTCATTTACAATAATTATCTGCGGAACATTTGGACAATATTATAAAATATGGAGCGAATATCCACAGTCAATTCTACAAAATGAAGAAAGTTAGTTTATTTTTAAAATGCAATTTAAACCATATGTTGTGTAATTTTTAGATTACTTGTTTGTTTACACATCCAAAATAAATAGACAGTAATAGACAACAAGTTTATTAACAACATGGAGGAAATGTGTACATGTTGAGCAACATCAATCAAAGAAAGACTAATGTTTCACTCAATAAGATTAAGGAGGGATAATTTAATGAACAGTATAAACTTTGATTTAATAGTCTAAAAATTTAAGCGGTCAATTTTTCTGGGTTTTATGTGAAAGATATGAAAATATATTAGTGCGATCAACAGAAAATGATGGAAAGGCACGATTTAGATAGAATTCGACATAAAAAAACTGATTACGATCGCTAAATTGCTAATATAGAAACCGTTTTAAGAAGCTACTGAAGTCGAGAGAGAAAGAGAGTAGAATAGAGTAATAACAACCACGCAAATATTTTTATTTAATCATTTTTTGTAGCCTAGACTCCTATACTCATCTGAGTATAAGTACTATATTTTTCACCATACTAAAGGAAAAAACGCATATAGCTTGAAACTAAAAATTGATGCACAGTATATCATGATCAACTCTATACATAGAAAACTGGTTTTGTTAGAGTACTAAAGTCACTCGTGATTCAATAACTATACGCAAGGTTAAATATAATTGAATATAGTAGGATTTCGAACATGTAACACAAGGGTATGAAAAATAATTGTATTACTGATTTAGATGTACGATTAAAGAAGATATCTAATTATAAATCGGATGATTCGACGAATTAATTAATATCCCCTCGAACGTGAAAACTCGTTTAATTCTCACTAAAGTATAATTGAGTGATAATCAAACGGCATTTATTACTAAAAGTCCTGAATCTTACTTATAGTTACGAAACTGGATAAGGGATAGTTATTATGTGTAAAACAAAAACATAGAGTAGTTTATAGAGTACTAAAGTTAAAAAATATATAGTTAAAGTTCCCTGTCATTTTAATAAGTTAGTAAACTTAGGACTTTTAAGTACTTATACTGGAATTATTACCATAAGATACTTGTCCAGATTATTGGATTTCATACTTAATACCACGAACTATTCTAGGTAAGACACTCACTGAAAAAAGGAGCAGTAAACAGCTTTTCTGTTCTTATATGTGACCTACCATTATAATTGAAGAATGGTTGAGAAATACTGAGAAGTTATGAATGTCAACCATTGAATGGTAATTCAGTGATTCTATTAGTTATACGTTCATTATGAGACCTGGCAGTCGTGGGTTAGATCCTAATATGAAACTCCTCGACAGAGCTCACCAAGGATCAAAACTGGGACTACAAGGTTTTTTTCACATACCAATTGCGTTTTTAAGTAACTAGTAAATTTATTTCTATCTTGCCTCTTGTAACTTAGAAATACGACGTCACAGAAAACTTCTTCAACTCAATTTAACTGAAGTAAACAAATAAGTGTTGTTTAATTACACCTTTTTGAATGTTAAAGATTCCCATTGTGAAAATTAGAACAACACATATAAGCGAACAATTGTTTTCAATTTGATAGTCATCAGGCTTTACTCTAATATACATGAATATTTATACGAAAATGTTAAACCAATCAACGCATTGTACAAAATAACACCATTTTTGTTCGGATTCTGTCAGATCATATCAAGGACTATGACATAAAAATTAAACTATAACCAACTGGATCATAACTTCAAATGCGTCTGCAGTGCTTGTGTCATTATTTTGTATCCGTAGTCATACTGTTTATACGTGACAATCGGGGACCACTGTAATTCCCACGACGCAAAGCGAGAACACAGAAGACTGATGCAAATGGAAACCGATTGACTAGTTTATATACTGGGTTTTACACACAGTATCATAATGTACAGGGGAAATTATATAGGGTTACTGCAAAAACACTGAATGTAGTGTGCCTTAGATGAATGAAGGTTCACACATGTCATACACAATGAAATTCATACTGAATTGATATAAAAAATATTGACCGAAAATGATGTCACCTTTTTATCCCATTATATCGTCATCAACATCAGAACATATGGAATTTGAAGGAAGCTCAAATCAAAGGGTTACGTACATTGCATTGAAACAGGGATCCAACCCGAAAACTCAGGTCTTTGGGAGAGTGCTTAACCGTCAGACCTCCGAGTTGACATGTAAATGTAAACATTTTTAACTTCAATCGATTCGTGAGGGCATACTGTTAAAGTCTTATACTAAGATGAAACAGCTATCCAATGTCCCTTGGTGTCTAATGGCCCCCGCCATAGTGGGGTCAATTCATGAACAATATCACAGAGGGCTTATATTGGTCTTCATAAATACATCAAACCCTGTAATTTAATTACTAACTGCATGAAATATTCTGTTAACGGTTACACAAAGTATGGTGTTTTACTTCTTCCGTGTTTTTGAATAAGTAACCAAGTAAAGGTGTAGTTTTATTTTAACCGATCTTGTAAAAACAGCCTTCAAATTAACAATCGTTTTCAATCTACTTGACTGGCGATAATTTGTCAAAGTCGGTTAGGTTTTAAATTTTCCAACACCCAAAGGTAGTTGTTATCTAACATTAGGTGAGATTTGGAAATTGGCTTAAGCTATAATCTGACCGAATTATATGTTACATGTTAGGCATTTCAACGCGTACCAATCCATTTTACTAACGATCCTTAATTCATGTTTTTGGTTTTTTTTAATGACTTTAACTCAAAAGTGACCATTTTACTTAAGATTATTACTTTAAGCTAGAAATCATGTAACCCGAAGAGAATTTATTGAAAATAATATTTACAGGTCAGTCACAACCCGAAAAGCTCCATGGAAACCTCTCAGATTATGAACCTAGGTGACCCAGGTTTGAACATATTTCCCCGAAAAATGGAGGTACGCCTTGATAGTTAGTGTCAAATAACATGGAACCTAGGTTCAGGATTTTCTGTCGACTACCTCCCACCACCTAACATGTAGTGAGCATTTTTCGTCCACATAATGATTCTACTTTGATAGAAATATTCAAATGGTTAAATCTTAATTAGACCAAGAAAGCTGGTGTTGATAGTTTATAGAATACCAGTTAGCCAACGAAGAAAGACTATGCGTTGGTCAACGAAATCATTCTAAGCTATGTATAAAATGAAAAGTACGCAAATGAAATCTGTCAGGAAATTAGGTGACAAAGCTGCTTAAAGTAATCGTCAGTGGTGCAAATACATTTACAAGTTTTTATTTTTCAGTCAATTGTTAAATATCTTGTTAGGCTATATATATTTTTAATCGTACTTTCGTCTGTTTTTCATCGTCTCTTTCCTTAATAACTGTTTTTTCCCTTAGAAATTTTCGATCTGATAAATATGGTTGTATTCGCTTTTTAATCTATACTACTATTGTGTAGTTGTTATGGTTTGAACAAATACACAATTGGATTTGGGCTCTTTATCAATTACTGATAGCCAGTGAATCGGGAGGTTGTGAATTACCCAATACAGTTTTAGTTTTCGTATCACGAATTGACGTTAGTTAAACAACTAGTGGAAATCATAAAACAGAGGATAAGTATTTTAATCTAGTATGGGACTCCGTTGCAATTCCCATCAAACACCACACTGGAGATTAAACGCAAGACCTTCAGGTCACATGTATTTGGATAAATGGTCCATCTTGTATGGATTGTTAGGGGTTTGTTTCTGTTAAACGCGGTAGGTTTTAGCAAAGCATGAAAGTCTGAAGCTACTCGCCTTTCGTTTTGACATTAATATCGATATGGTGGTTGTTAAAATAGCATGTATTGTTATTGCTGGTTTGATTTGTAAATTCCCCGCTCTGCAGAATCGTTAGGTCTTTTAGTGTAGTTTATATGCTCTTCGGTGTGAGTCATAATTTCACGAGACTCCCATACAGAACGCATCAAAATTTACACATCCTAGTCTATAGACACAGATTCTATATCTAAGTGATAGAAATTTGATCTTTTGCTTGAACTAAAACATTTCGAAGAGTGATCGTTGCAATTTGTTCGTTGTGCTCAGATGATATAGTTGCACCTAGTTCATGATGTGTACCATGAAACTCAACAAGCTTTCAACACTAGTAATTTTTCCCTTAGATTTCGTCACCTTTTGTGTTTTTGTATTTGTATTATATGACTTTTTTTCAAATAACTAAACCGTTTTTTAGAGCTCACATTTTAGATTAGAATAGAATAAGAGAAATAACTAATGTAATTAGTTAAATGTATCATACTTTGGATCAGAAGTTACATAATACATGAATTGATATGAAAATCAATTAAATCCAGAGATGAGTGCTGATTACACTGCGTTTAAGTGTATAAGAAATCATTATTATTATTATTAAACAAATCTGATAAATTTGAGTGTAAACTGATAAGTCGCTGAAAAGAATATTCTTTGTTTATATACAAGTGATTGTTTTTTTCACAAACTGTTACGGGCTAGAGATTAGATACGGACGGATGTTTCGTCCTAGTATGGGACGTCCTAGTAGTGCGTAATCACAACCCCACCGACGGTTGAACCCAGGACATTCAGATCCTGTTGCGAGCGCCTAACATGTAAAATACTAACTAATCTCCAGGAGTGATACTTGAAGTTCTGTTTAGAAGCCACGACTAGTGGAGGAAGTTAAATACCAATGGCATGAGAAGATGGCTGCTTAGTACCATGGATTGACTGAAGTTAGAAGTGTAAGCAAATGGATTCCAACTTGCTGGTCTCAGGATTACGTGGGCGTCAAGACCTGACGGTCATGGAACGGATCCTTGGCAAAGTTGTAAACACGCACTAGTGAGAAGTCCCACACTAGAGCAAAGGAACCGCTAAATGCACCCTGGTTTTCAGTGTCTGTCAAGCTAAGGTCAGTCCGTAGTGCAAACTACAAAACTCAATAATTCTCTCAAACCCCTCACATTACCAAATGTTACTTCAGAAAAAAAATGTAATCAACTATTCTTTTAATAGGATTAACAAAACGTCCTTGGACTTTACGTGACCCACTGAATTGTTGCTTGGATAATGCTAAATGTTGTAGGCGTAAAAGGTACTTTGGAAGAAAACTGGATGAAGATGACGAAGATGAATTTGGTTTGACACGGGGAGAACACGCTTGGAAAAATCGTGTATATCAGATTAGAAATCGAATGAATCCACTACTGGTAAAAAAATTTACTCATGAAAGAATGAATAAGTATTGAGTTCTAAAAACGTTATTACTATATTGTGTATGTATCTGTCTATCCGTAAATATCTTAAAATAAACATTTTTTAAACACTTCATTATAATTTGTTAGAGATGAACATGTCGGTTACTAGGGTGAGTTAAAGACAAACTGGTGTTTCCTATATGAAATCGAGGAAACTTGAGTGAATGAAGTTGCATTATTTAAACTATCAACATCCTAGAAGGAAGCGAAAACGAATAAGCAAATCCATTTCTTGGGAATAGCAATAGTTTATCTGTGGTCGGGAACTAAAGATGAAGATAGGTCAGCAAAAGGGATATACAAATATACTAAATTTACAAGGAAAGGAATCATACTTTGAGACAATTCCATAGAGAAACGAGCCAAGAGACAACTCTTTCTGTTACAGTTACGAGTTAAGAGTAAAGAAAACACATAGTATACACTGTGACCGTTAACAGTTGTATATGTATCTATTACACGGAGTTGAGCTATTCCTATTGTAAAGAAAATTGGTGTTTGTGCACACGTTAATCACTGTAGGAAACGGTCTATGTTGGATGTTCAAACAAAACTTCATTGTTGAGTAAAACCATTAATCATCAAGTGAAAAGTGTATATCAAAGCCAAGTACATTAAACACATACTTAGATAGGTTCCATTAAAAATCCAATTAAAAGAAAGTCAAATCAATACAAGGATATTTCAAATGACATATTAAAAATATTAAGGCATCAATTGTGAAATAATTCAAGGATGACTTTTTGTGAAAAAAAGTATTTTGATAATCTCCAGTCAAATATAAACAAATGTAACTTATTTATCAAGTGCAAGCATTTGTATTTGATGTCCAAGTACAATTTAGTTACGTGAAAACTACTGCTATTACTCAACTGTCTAAACTGAAGTAAATGGTAAAGGGCTAGAAACTAAGACCTACTACCACCGCCACTGGTCATCATGATCAGTGATAGTTTATCAAATAATTTATTAATAATAATGGGACTATTTTTAAAGTTCGAAATCTGAGATTCAACATAAAACCTTGAATCCAAACAATTAGAGATAATAATATAGAAATAAGAAATTTAAACAGAAAGATTATTTCCAAAAATTAGTATTAATCAACCAACCTGAAGGCCAGAACCTCTGATTTTTTTAAGACGTCGACCTAGACGTTGTAAATCAGGGATGCGACGTAAGAAATCTTCATGCAATCCTCGACGTATCGCAGTTTCTTCAACAAACGATTCAACTAAGTCCAAACGTTCTTCTACAAATTGAGAAATAAAGTAAAAGTTACGTACGAATACCTAAGCGGTGAATAGATATTTCCTAACGTTGAAGGGAAACAATTCATAAATATATAAGAGAAAATTCTTGATAGATTCATCAATGATAGTCGTTAATGTGTCCTAAAAAGTGATCTTTAAAACAAGTAATGTGGTAATTGCCCTCATGAACTTATTACAACAGTCTGGTGTTACATTTTTATTTACCAGTGTACCAATCTAGTGGACATTAGATGTAAACTAGTTTGCACGGTAGGCACTGGGATTCCTACCATAAATTTCAAGAAATTAAATTGTAGATGCATTATAGATGTTTAGTATACATTTAATAATATACTAGATAAATACTTTCACAAAATGATGTAATTATATAAGGCTACTGCCTGTTACCGAGATATTTTAATTCGACTACAACTATTATCTTGTAAAGAATTTTTTACGTTATAATGACATACCAATTTTTGACTTATCTATTAAAGGTTGTCGAAGCCATTGAGCTAGAAGACGCTGGCCTTGAGCTGTTCGACAATTGTTCAATGCGCCATAAACACTGTGAAACTTGTTTTCTAAAACATTGGAGGTTACAAGTAAAACAGTATATGCGTTAAGAAATTATTAGAGTAAATATGAATAATTTACAACAGCCATAGACTGTTATCATTATTTAATATTTAACTTAGTTATTATGTAACCGATCGGAAATGACTGAGATTAGCACCTGGTAATTAAAACACTTGACTCCCAGTAGTTGGATTGTAGGCGAGAACTCGGCTTCACCTACTTTGGTATGAGCAGCCGAATCTCAGGGCTCTGTATAGAGAATAAATCTGTCTTATATTTGCATTTACTAATAAACATATGATCGTGTGTTTACTAATAACTAACTTTGAGACAAGTTACCGAAGTTCTACAGGGACTTCATGACAGATAGACACTGAGAATAAAATAGTTATCACTAATCGTATTGAATGGCTGTCGGCAAAGTAACAAATCGATTGAATTTGAAAATGTATATGATTGGATATACGACCTAATGATCTAATGGTTTAGCAATCACAATAAAATCTGAAGATCCTGGGTTTGATCGCTGGTGAGGTCGTGTGTGCACAACTAAGTAGTCTGATACTAGAGCGAAATAGCTATCCAGTACTCTGATTTTTAATGATATCCCCAAACAAAGTTGATCCGTGAAAAACAGTATATACAAATTGAATCAGTCTCTAAAACGCTCCGGAAACGATGCATCCTAAGTATAACTACTTTCATTTTATGCACCATGGCATTTGAAAACACTCTTCTTCCATTAGTTATTTATCGTATTCCTCTAATCTATTTCAATTATAATTTATTTCCAGCGTCCTTTAAAATAATTTTAAAATATATTCATGCTTAATTAGTGAAAAAAACATATTTGTTATGAACGCCTTACTCTATTTATATTATAATGCACTGTCAGTACACTGATTTTGTTCTCTTTTCTTTTTTTATACGTATTCTGTAAAATTTACGCAACCCTGGATTATTGTCATTTACACTACATGATTTAGTATTATACGCTTTATTATTACATTATCATGATTATACACTGTCCATATTTTTCTTTACAAAATTAATTTATGCAAATAATAGAATTCTTGTTTATGATTACTGATTTAGCGTTAAGTAGAAATTATAATCGCGTGATTACTTTGGCACTTGTCGAATAAATTACATACATTAGTCAAGCAAAGTGCACGGATATTTACTAAACCTACAGACCTTTTCAACTTGAGTGCTAGAAATACTATCCGATTTTCTGTATCAAAATAGGTGAACTGAGAAACGAACTTGCGATCTAATAACTGAAGGTCAGGTGCCTCTATCAATCTGCTACTCATGTTGTTATTAATTTAAAGGTAAATTGAAAAAGCGCTGTTTATATCATTAGAGGGAGGTGCATTTCAGAAAAACGAGGGTTGTATAATCAGCGAAAATTTGCAGGTAAGGCTTTTATGTATTACTGTTTAAAAAATCATATAGTCAAATATTGTCTAAGTTTTATACTAAAAACAACATGAAAAAACAAAATGACAAACAATTTATCCACTTAACACTCACTATCATCTGGACCAGGTAATAAGTGCAATGCCCGACTAGCAGCACTATCTAGGCGTACATGATTTTCAAGACTAAAAGTTTCTAATGTGAATACATGACGATTCGTGTCAAAAGCGTTTAGCTAATGAAAAAGAAGGCCAATTAAAAGATAAATCAAACATCCCATTAAAAAACAAAAAAATGTGACGGAAAAATCTAGGATCCATCAAGAAATTTCATTCAATCATATAAATAAATAAAGTGTACACCAATTCACAAGGGGAATTTATCAACCAATAGTATGTATTACAAAAACAGCTTCAAATATTCGCAAACACTAAATAGCAAAGCTTAAATAACCTAGAACTTGCATTTTATTATAAACCATATCCCTTTATCGATTTATATTAGCAGGGAGATAAGATTAGTTCTATTTTGTTAGTGCAAATTCTTCTGAAGTTTATAAGTAATGATGCGAAGAATGCTTGAAATGAAATTCTTTTCCCTCGTTTATTCAGAACATTGCTTAGGAAAGGATATGTATCGTTATTATTGTTTTTGATTGTAATGATACCTGCATTATTAATCATAGGTTCGATGTATCAACATCAGTAATCAAAAAAATTAACACTAAATTTTCCGAGATTCGCTGTAGTATATTGTATATTTGGTCCAAAAGAAACTTATAAGATTGAGAGACATGTTCACGGGTATTATTTCATGTACAGATTTGTTGGTTTACGCGTGATGATCGCCATCAATGGTTGGAAAGTGGGGTGAATTGGCTCAAACTCATTCATTCTCCCAATTTTGAATTTCAGTATCTTTTTATACTTACTTTTCCATTCTGTCTCCTCAAACTATAGTCCCAAGTTCAAGTATTTCTTTCGATTTCTTCTGTTAATTTTATCTAGTGCTGATGTGTGATTTGCCATTTTAGGCTAACACACATCTGTATCAGGCTTTAGATGGATATCTGTTTGTCATGTACAAACTCAAACCTTGAATTGCTTTCCTTTGGAAAATTGATGAACTAATTTATGGCACTTTAATAACTACAAGTAAAAATTAAGGAAAAACGAACACAGAAACACTAATTTGATTCTTACTAATAAGTATAATATTTACTGATTTTCTGACTTCACTAATTATCCCTAGACTGTACTATAATGACGATAGTTCTCAGAGCTGCTAAATACCTAAATATAACGTTTTATTTTAAAAAAATATTAATCTTCTTCGATTTCTCCTGATAAATCTATTTTATAAGGTTTGTCTTTTGAAGTAGTTGAAGTTAGAAAAGAAAAGAACGCTGTTATATCCCGGGCATCAAATTATCGTTAGGTTTATCGATTGTATTCAGCAAACTTGACAGACGAATGATGTAGTATTGCGTTACTTAAGAAAAGAGCTCGGTACACAAAAAGTAGATATCAACTCTTTAAGGTTCAATGGTAATTATCTTATTAAGGACAAAAGTTTAGTGATTATATATATATGGAGTGATTACTCAAAGAAACTAGACAATCAACTCTATTAAATTAACAATAGCTCAATAATGTCAAGCTTTTTTTTCCTACCGAGATTAACCAATTCAAAAAAATTATAAGGAACAATCAGACATACCATTGATCAGTATACTTATTAACTTGACACTCATTAATTATGTTCAATGACCGAAGAAAGGAACTTAGAACATTCGAAAGTATCATTTCAGTTAGGTACGAAAGTAAAAAACTTACATCTAGGAATTTATTATGGCACCCAGACAAGACAATGCATCTTTGAGAAGAAACTCTAAAATTCGATATAAAAGAATTGATTATATATATATATACAATGTAAGTACGAACAAGCAAAATTTTAAGCAATTATTAATTGCCTGGGACTAGTTTTTGTAAAGGATAACAAACAAAACATTGTGAAGGATGAAATGATTTTATTTCATTTGGTCTACGCTCAAATCTTCCCTCATATAAGCGTTAATCTGTAGAGATAAACAGAATATTTTATTAAGCGCAATTTTGTGTATAACATGTGTATAGTGAAAAATAATTATGATTATTTTCGATATTTATACGAGTTTAGTTTGAATATAAGTGGAGTAAGCGAGAGTAACAATGACGTAACCAAGCACAAGCATGTACAAATTTGTTTGGTTTCGGTAGACAAAATGATCAAATTCACAACTATTATTAAAAAAAAACGGTAATAAAATACAATAATGGTGATAATAATAAGAATAGTAGTTGAAGATGATACGTCTAATGCAATTAGTTGGATGGGTAAATTGACAGAACGATCCAACTGTAACGCATTTGAAACACTGCATTATCAATTTCTAGTTTCGATTATCAGATTATCATGATCTCGTGCTTGCGTTATTACTATTTGTTTTCGATTGCTTTCATCAATAAACGTAAGTGCATTTTATGTGCTTATGAAGTCGTCTGCTCACTTCTATTTCAAATTCCTTACCATCCGAAAAGCGATGACTGATAACAACACCAATACCATAATTAAAAGCATCGGCGGCAACAATTATTTCCAATTACGAGTTATAATGTGTTAATAATGAATCAGAGGATAACATTTTCTTGATTTTGTCAAGGGGATTTTGACACTCGTCTGATCACTTCCATGTTGCATTAACTGTTAAGAGCTGATTTAACGGACGGCGTAGTGTCAGCAAAGCCGGAACAAATGCACTACAATATCCAATCGTTCCTGAAAATGATAGTAATGTCATTACATCAGTCGGTGGAGACACTTGTTTAGTGGCATATATATTATCTGGATCCGGTCGACGACCATGTTTATCAAATATGGATCTAAGAAAATTAACAGATTCAAGAAATAGTTCACATTTATATTTTTACAGTCGAAAACCAGACTCTGATATTCTTGTAAGTAGATTGTCCAAAGAAGACAATTCTTCTTTAAAGTTACTACAATAATAATATCATCCAAGTAGGCTGCAACACCATCGAGATTCAATATCATAGTATGTATTAACTTTTGAAAAAATTGAAGCTGGCTTTAGAGCGGAAAGTAATCTGTTGTACTGGTCAAGCCCATGATGAGTACTAATAGTTAGACAATGTTTAGAATCAACTTCTAATTGCAAATAGGCATTAGATAAATCAATTTCTGCAAAATAACGTCCAACATTTAGTTTTATGAATAAACCCTCAGGTAAAGGTAATGGATATGAGTGATTTTGCAAAGCACTATTCAATCCCGTAGAGTAGTCAGCACATAGGCGGATGGTTCCATAAGTTTTCTGAACTACAACAATAGTGGCTGACCATGATGAAAGACTAACTGGATGTATACATTCATAAGGAAAACTGGTTTCGCCCCATGTTGTAAATACAATTTGGCTTTGGATGTTACATTTAGCACAGGTGAGTTATTGAGAGTGCAGGAATCGTTTAGTGTACAAACTGTATCCAGTGGGATATTCCAGAGATTTAGTTTATTGATCCAATCAATACCGACAAGGTCTAAATCGTGTCTACTTGTCAAGTAACAAGTTTCATTGAAAAAGTAATCTCTAAATTGAACAATACATTCGATCATTTCGACGGGTTCTAGAATACTCCCAGATCCGTTACGAACAATATTTTCTGTAGGGAGTATTGAAGGATAACCCAGAAGTTTCCATGTCTTTCCAGAAATGAGTGTGATATTAGATGTTGTATCTAATTGAACACGAATCGGGACACTATTTATGAACAGACCCACTCATGAATTAGATTGCATGAATTCGTTGAATATATAATACGAACATACTTTCTGTGACTCTGGGAAAACTTCATTTGCAATTTGGAATTTAAATAATTCCGTTGTTGACAGAAAGTATATTTATGATCAAACTTACAACATACATTACATCGCTTATTCCAACGACAAGTCTTCGCAAAATACCGTTCAACAGAAAATCAACATTTTGTAAGTTTCTTTAGTTTAGCTTGGTGGCGATTGTGAACAGAACATTATCTTCTCTGCAGTATTTTACAGCATGGATATTACTATTTTTCGGGGTTTTCCATCTAGTTCCTACCATTGCAGTGCCCTGCTTTAAATTTAGCAAGCGTTGGCAATGCAGTGATCATCTGTAGTACCATTTCATCATCAATACTGGATAATAATCGAGTTCGAACATCGGCATCTATGGAAGACTATAGTCCAGAAACAAACAATAAGCATTTAAATTGGTCATTTGATAATGTACTGAATTTAAGCGTTCAACTTGTAGATTAATCCTGCTTGCGTACGTCAGATAATCTTCACCAGCGTCCTTTTTTAACTGGAGGCATCTATAACGAATATGAAATAACAAAGCTTGTTCACAAAATATCTTGTTCAAAATACCAACGGTTTCATCAAAACTCAACTCCCTTGGGTGTCTTGGCAGGATAAAATTTCCATATTTAGTGTCCTTGTGGGTCAAGTTTTTGTGATACCAATCTTACGTTTCTTTCATCTGAGAAAGATATTCCATGCTAGCGAACCATAATTCAAATATATGACCACTTTCCGAATCAAAAATAAGTTTTGGGACTAATTTAAGTAATGGTTCTATTTCCTCATCTTTTGCAGTGCATTTGAACTGGATTGAAGATTTTGATGTAAGTGATGTAAGCATCTGTTCTTGAGAAGCTAAAAATTGACTCTGCTGTTGCTGAAGAAATAATTGCATTTGCTCCATTAAAGTTGACATATTGATTTTCTTCTTCTGCATGAGTCAGGACAGTAATAAGAAAAAGACTGAATGACTAATTAATAACTAATGTCGTGCAAGGACACCGACAACAGCTCTGTACGTTGTGTTCAAATAATTACACTGATTCTCGTTCAACTACTGGATGGCCTCGATTCCTTTGTGAAAGTCGAGGTCGTAGACTTTTCATCCCGTCGCCAACTTGTTGTCCTATTGTCCATCAAATAACATGTGATAAAATCGCCTTTTTGAATACCGACTTATATAACCTTGTCCCTTTGCTAAAGCAATGATGTGTTAACCAGCACGAACAGCCTTCAGTCAACTCTCAATTCTTATTGGTCCTCCGTATAGCAACTTCTCGCCTAGCCCAGCCCGTTCAGTCTAGAACAAAAATATCAGACTCCACTGTGTGGATCGTATATTTCAGACATACTCGGTCTACATACAAGCAGACCAGACAGCATCATAATACAGAATGAAAAAGAAGTGTCATACAAGACCACGCCAAAAGTATCTGTGAACGTGGGATACTGTGACCGATATGTTGGGAACAAGTTAAGAATGGCAAATAGTATTGCGGTAGCCAAATGAAAGCTTATGACCAAAGGAATGTAAACATATAATCTAGTTACTTAACAGTTATTCTTCGGATGTAACAACGTTAAAAGGAGGCAATCAACAGATGTAACTTCCTATATAGTGGGAACACTACAGTAATAATTATTCATATACTTATTTTTATAATGGCTAAAATACAATTGATCTAATTTTCAAGAGTTGGGAATAATATGAACCTAGGTATTAAAGACGTTTAGAGCGTGAATGGGTCCATTGACTAATACTTTTTACTTAATAGAAATAAAATTTGCATATCAACTACTACTATGGCAAGTTTTGGACATTTGATCTATGATTTTATGCACACCAGAGTGTACGAAAAATACTAGTCCATTTTTTTTGTACACATTTATACTACTTAGTTTGCTGTTAATAGTTTAATAACTGGTAGCTATAGAAGAAAATAATATATGAGTAATAAATTCTTGACACAATTTGCTGTTACTACTTTTATTGTTTGAATTTTCAGGAATTCAACTCCTACCAGATGGTCGACTTATCGACTTAGAGAACGGAGATGACACAGTCCTGTTTGATGAGGACGCCGATGAAATGTAGAGTTTTAAGGTAGCACAGAGTGACAATGACAGGATGTTTGAGATGCGTTTCTCCTCCTCTAAATGCAAGTTGTTGCTTCAGCACTGGTCTACGTCAACACCTAAACTAAGGATAGGGAGTGAAGTAGTCGACAACTTCACTTATCATGAAAGTCTGAGCAGCTCTAATTGATTGGTGTCTGACGAAATATCTGCACGGATTCGAAAAGACGAGATATCTGTCTATCAATAAAGGGACGAGTATACTGTGCAGCAGTTCGTTGTTCTACTTTACGGCTGCGAAACGTGACCACTAAGAGTAGAGGATGCTCGTAAGCTTCAAGTATTTGATCACAGATGTCTTAAAGTATTGCTCGCATCTTCTGAAATCATCGGGTAAGTAATAGTGAGGCTAGACACAGGGTATTAGGGAATGATGGTAAATCCGTTGATGAGGTGGTAAATCTTTATCGACTGAGATGGTTGGGCCACGTGTTACGTATTTCTGAACACCGATTACCACGACGCGCAGTTCTGACTAGTGTTGAAGACAGTTTAAAGAAAGTTAGGGGAGGTAAAACCAAAACTTGGCGTTAGTTCCTGAAGTCACTAACTTCTGGTCCGAGCCATGTTGGTAGACGCAAACTACTTGGTCGTGGTTCGTGCGACTATCGTAACCAATGTTCGGAGACTCTGAGTGGCATGGCTCACAGTCGATCTCAGTGGCGCGCATGCATTCACATGCTACCTCTATAGATCAGTGTTCCCAATATTCCTCCATACATACCTTCCCATCAACTTTTCGAACCACATTCTTAATGTTTATTCTTTCTTATTATGGTTGCTGCTACATTATTTCGGTTTCTCTGACGTACATCTTGTTAATTTCATTTCGTCGACCTAATGTGATATGACAACTTAGACTAACGCCTGTTTGAGCCGAGCTCTATTTTGATATCTATCTTTCTGAGTTCACCCTTATCAAGCAGCTTTCGTTGACATACATTTTTGTCTGTCTCTTTGTTGATTATTTCTAACTGGTTGTTCAAGCATCAAATGTGCCAGGCTCTTTGTTCACTATGACTGACACGTATTAACGACGTCGAATTTCGGGCTACTGGTAAGATCCAAAAGTTTCTACAAGTTGTATATATTTCTGTTAGAAACCCTTGAAACTATACCATATATATTGCAGGCCTCAGGGTATTTTACTGATTACATGATCATCCTATGCCACCGCTTCATGAACAGAAAATAATTAACATGAGTTTCAATAATAATGTAAAAACCAAAACTCAACTGAAAACTTGTTACGAGACACTACTACAAAATACATCCACATAAGCATACGAGAAGCGATGATTTTAGGTTTGTTTACAGTCAGTCAGTCAGTCATACTCAATGTAGGACCTGTCACATGTGTGAATCGGTGTAAGTTGTCACACTACACTAGCATAGCGACATGAAATTATCAAGATAAATCCCAGATTGTTAGAAAGTTTAACAATACCAGTAATAATAGAAAGGATTAGGTAGACAACAAACGGAAAAGTTGTAGCCTTATTATAATATTGATTCGATAGCATGAAATGCCAAACAAAGCCAACTGCTTTGCATAGAAAATTTTTAAAAGTAGGTACACCAGTAAAACAGATGAATTTCAAGTACAGATTGTGATTAAAATCCACAATAACCTAATTATCTTTGCTTTCCGGTGGGTATAATAGTAGCATCTGACTGAATAGCATTCAAAAACAGATTACCTTTCTCGTAGAGCAAAGAGCCATTTGAGTTTTCTTTTTCAGATCGCAGGAAATAGATCAAGTCTTGTGGTTTAATTGTGTGCGAGAATTCAGCTTAAATAAGCAAAAACAAAGAGCTTTATGAGATCATAACTGGAACCAAACCACATTTAAATAAATGTGGATCAAAACTAAGAGTAAAATTTCAGTGTTTTTATCTCTTCAGATACAAGTACCAAAAATGGGGACTAACTAAAATCATAGCTGCTGTCATTAATCAAAAATCCCTCGACATTTGATCAGCTATATTCACAAAAAAGATTTCCCAGTGTGAGTTGGAGAACTCAGTTTAATGGTTTAAACTTAATGCAACATTAAATTGCGACCAAAAGTATTTGATAATTCATAATTACAAACAAATATGGGATCAGAGATATGGTTTCATCCGACCTTAAAACAGGTATTTTCCGCTTTAGTAAACATGATGCACATCTCACCAATTTAGATTTACAATTTTAAGACTTGAGTCCCGTCATTTAAAGCATTAATTTCCTAGACTAGAGACTAAATTTCGCACTGAAGATTTCATAAAATAACTAGTGGTCAAAAAGTTGTAGTTTCTTCATCCCATTAAACCCACACTGTCTTACATATCTGTATGAAAATAAGTATATTTTGGTGGTCTAAAGGATTTCTGACTAGTGGTACAGGGTGATTTGATGGACAAATTCAAGATGATTGTTTAATTAATTTAAATTTTGTGTAGTGAGAGATCAAAAAGACGCGAGGTACCACTTAGTGTATGGGAAATGAAGACCCTTAAGTTTAGCTAACACAGATTTCTGAGGATGTCTTCGGAACAAGTCTGGTACTAATAAATTGCGATAATTTTAGCCTAAGACTAAATTGAGTAGAAGTTGGTAAACTGATAAAACACACCGATAAAAACTTACTTAGGTTCATAAAATGTTAGTGTTTAATTAGAGATGATGAAATGCATAAACTTATTTAACTTTGATGACTAGACTATTCAATAATATTCCCTTTTAGCATTACCGGAATCAAATGCTTTTGACAATTATCACATCAATATTAGACGGAGACCAAGAATGATTTAATGCATGGTCTTAAATTATGACCGGATTTCAGATTCAAATTTCTGGCAGCACCAACAATCGCTCCTTTGGGTGATACACACCCAATGATTCATTCTATTTTTTTAAATAGGTTAAGGACTGTTTTGAAAGCTACATGTCAATTTATACGGCTATAGCCTAACCCTAATTTATGAGGGTTTTTTGGAAGTGGTTTGACATTAAAACAAAGCTAACCAACAGTAATATTTGGTTGGTTCTAACTAGGTTCGTAGACCCTTCTGTATTAAATTGAACAGTAACTTTGAATAATGTAATCAGGTTCACTATCTAATCCGCTCCTTACTGGTTCACAAAAATGGCCTTTTTCAGTTAATACAAAAAACTATCACCGATCTTCGAACTTTAATTATTACTCTAAGATATTTCAAAAAAAAGAGCAAATATGAGGAATTAACAGATGTGGAAAATCAGGTTTTACGGAGGTATGAAAAATAAGCAATGAGAATACGATCAGTAAGAACATTGGTCATCCCAATTTAATCACTAGCAAACAACATAAAAGAACATCGACTACGGTGACCAAATTTCAACGATATATGAAATTAAGAGATATTTTTGATATCAAACATAGATTAGAAAGGTCTATCGATTACCGAGATGCAGGACTTACACTTTTTTACCTCAGTAGGTAAAATCCCAGTTTTTTCAAAGATAAAACTGACGTGCTCCGAAATAGCATTGCCCAAAGGTGTGACATCAGATTTCGAAATATCTGGATGTGAAAGCAGTCCGGTAGGGACAAGGCATTCTCTTGTTTTAAGTTGAACAAGAGCAGTTTCCAAGTTCGCTAGGTGCACTGAGTCCATAAATTCACCAACAAGAAACTTCCGACTTTCAGTTTCACAAAACGCTAGGCACACATGCTGAAATACAGAGCAAATGTCTTGTTTGATTGAATAATTAACTCCAATAACAAAAATCAAAAACATTGTAACACTAGGACATAGAACAGAATTAATGAATTCCAAACAGATATCACCAAATGATCATGAATATCTTATGTAGATGAAAACCACCTTCAAGCTTAACGCAATAACCTTTTCCCTAGCCATAATGATGAGTAATTGATGTTCTGGTTGCCAAAGTTAAACCTTTCGCCAACTGTTCTAGCCAAAGATTTCAGTTGTGACGCTCTTGCCTGTGGCTCCAATTATAACATAAAGCAGTGATAGAGTAACACAACTTTTTTTATCTCCTAGTGACACTTCCCGGCATTTGAACGTAGCTACTCCGGCTGAAAGTACCTAAATATTCTAATATAAACGTAGGATTTAGTTATTTAGATTATCAGAAAAATATTGTACTGAAATGTCACTAATATAAGTCCTAAGAATTGACTTTAGGTGTACATTTAAGGGTGTTAGTATACTTAGTTTATACATGTAAATTTTGGAGACCGAAAATGTAGACACCATAAATAGAGATAGCACTAAATAAATGGAGAAAACGGTAGTAAAATCCAAAAGAAAAACAAATGAACGAGAATTCATACTAGGATATGCAGCTCACTTGAAAATATAACCAGAAACCTTTTTTATCTAAGAACGTTCCTCACAATTTTTTCCACTAGCTATTATATTGTGGCATATTTGCTAACGTTCCAAGTTACATAGTTGAACCACCTACAGAATATAAAACATATGGTTTGAATTAGACATAGCAGACAGTTTCTGATGAAACCAGTAATCTACGGTCCCTGTTTAGAAAATTCTGACGCTGTAAGTATCATTCAGTGATATTTAATACCTTAAATACGAAGTGTTTAACCCAAGTCAATCGTTACATTCACATATCTGGGTAGTTTTGTCTGTTATCAACAAGGTTGGTGAACATTAGCAGCGAATCGCATACGGTTGTAAAATTTACACTAAACTTACTATTCGTTCGTTTAGCTGCTTTACATTTACTGCACTGAGTCCACAAGCTTCAACTGAATCTGATGTGGATGTAAGGAGATCTTCTACTGAACCCAAGTTCCCAGGGGAAGCCTGAAAATAAGCTAATAGCTGGCTCTACAAACCTTCAACTTAAGGCTCCACTCATTATCTCTCCCACATTTGGATGTGGAACAATATATTTCAATGCGATATTGCCTCTTTAGAAGAAAATGTCTCAAAAAGTCAGTGTTTTGTTTTTTGACAGTGATATACGGCAGGCTTGACTTCCCTCTGGGAAACCGCTTTACAAGGGACGGATTTTTGTAGTAATCTGTAGCCACAAGAATAGCATCAGAATCATGAAGCGTCATTATCTCCTGGAAAGAAATAACTCCAATTAATATGGCTTACCCCTCTTTCGAAGCACCGAAGAGTGGTAGGAGGCTTCTAGATTGAAAAGTAAATTTTGAAAATTTTATCCTTACAGGTCCAAGAGATTTCCAGAAGGAATAAAATCCATCTTCCAAGGAAACACTCGACTGCATATCCTGTTACAAATGTGACCGGTGTCTATTTGGAAGCAGGGGAGATCTAAAACAACAGCATACAAATAAGGGTCAGTGAATGTCTCGAAGCAAGAACACGACGTGCTAGCACAACATATATGTATATTTCAGAAATCGAATAACGTATTTGGGCCACAAAAGGGAAAGGTTATTTTGAAGATAGTCTTATCTATCACGCAGATCCTGTTCTTTTTCTTCCAGCACGTTTACTTATTTCCCTGTAATAAGAAAGACATTCATTTCAATAGCCTTAAGTACGGTGAAGCAAGGTGAAAACCGTGATTTTCAAACCAGTTGCGCAGAGCGCTTAATCAAGAAACCCTATATTTCTGTGCTCAATAGATCCAATCAGAAAAGATACCGTCAAATGGGTAGTAAAAAAAAACAGCAAAATAAGGTTTTTCCTAATGACCTCTGGCTTATGGTAGCAGTGAGTCACCCATAATTGCATCTAGTGCCTCAAGTATATGAGAACAAAAGGAAATAATAGATGTAATATGTGCACCGGTAAATATTGGTTAATTTTGGAGATTTTGACAAACGTTTACTCCCTAAAATAAATAGCCTAGAGGGCATATAGTAGTTCTAACGATTGACTATTTTTTTTATACTTCGTTTTGGAGCCAGTTCTTGTTCCGTATATGGTACATTCATTTATGATCATCTTGTTTGGTCTTAAATTGGGTCATTCTGGTAAATCCAAATTAGTATATTGATTCGTTCAACACTATGAAGCAGATCAGGGGGCTGATTTATGACAGAAGGCAGACAACAGTTTGAAGAATAGTTTCAGAATATCGAACTTTTTAGTAGGCTTTATATTAAAATGTCGACAATAATACAAAGAGGCTGGAGAAAGGAAATTCAGCAATCGATTTTCAAACTTCCACATGTCAAGGCATTATTTGTTGAAGTTTAGATTAGCTCATCTGAGAAACCAGTGTGTTGGAAAACTTAGAAAGAAATAAAGATGTGTAATGGACTAAAAGATAGGAAAACTACAAAATATTACAAATATTTTTGTTACTCCCTCAGACCTGTTGTATAAATTGCATGATACTCATTGTTGTTCGACGACATAACTGTACAGCAAGATTGTTTAGATAGCTTCTGAACTCGATACTACTGCAGAATGCTCAAACGAAATATGGTTGGAAATTATAGGAATATTATAGTAAAAGGGAAACATCTAGCAAATAACTAAAATTATAATTCAACTCCAATAAGGTTAGCTTTATAATATACCAACAAATCGGGGCTCAGGCTGAATCAAGCGTGGATTTTTCAGAAGAAGTGAGAATCAAATTGTTAATTGATACGAAACGATGAGTAAGTGTAGACGATGATATGACTTCAACGTAAGATCTTAAAGATTGGGTAGTCGTATCGTGACAAATCTACATTTTGGGATTAGGCATATTATTATAGTAGTAGTACTGATACCGGACTAGACTATAATTCTACATTGCTAAGCCCGACTAAATAAACGCAGTCCTATTATTAATCCTCATTTCCACTTTAACTTTCTCGACTAATTTTTACCTATCATTACATTAGTCCTCTGATTAATGCTCACGTGTATTATCGTATTGTAATCTTGATCAGTACTCATAACTCACTAGCTCAGTCGATACTAATAACAGGTCATCTACATCATTTATTAGCTACGATGATTCATTATCAAGCTTTGATAGCATTTACATACTTATTACTTACTTCCGCCTGTTACTCCTCGTGAAGGAGCATAGGCCGCTCACCAGCATTCTCCATCCAACCCTGTCCTGGGTAGATATTTCCAGCTTCTTCCGGTTCCAATTCATCCTTTTCATATCTGCTTCTATTTCTCGAAGTAATGTGTTCTTTGGCCTTCCTCTTTTCTATGCTTACCTTCAGATTCCAAGTTATGGCTTGCCTTGTGATGCAGTTTGATGATTCACGTAACATATGTCCTATTCATTTCCATCGTCTTTTCCGAATTTCCTCTTCAGCTGGAAGCTGGTTTGTTCTCTCCCACAGTAGTAGGTTGTTTCTGATGGTATCCGGCCAACGGACATTGAGTATCTTGCGTAGACAACTATTTATAAATATTTGTACCTTCTTGATGATGGTTGTAGTAGTTCTCCAAGTTTCATCTCCGTACAGTAGAACTGCCTTGACGTTCGTATTGAAGATCCTGACTTTGATATTGATTGACAGTTGTTTTGAGTTTCGTATGTTCTCCAACTGTAGGAATGCGACCCTTGCTTTGCTAATCCTCGCCCTTACGTCTGCATCTGATCCTCCTTGCTCATCGATGATGCTTCCCAGGTATGTGAAGGATTCTACATCTTCCAGAGTTTCGCCATCAAGAGTGATTGGATTGCTGTTCCCTGTTTTGAATTCGAGGACCTTGGTTTTCCCCTTGTGTATGTTGAGGCTTACTGATGCAGAGACTGCTGCTACACTGGCTGTCTTTATCTGCATTTGTTCGTGTGCATGGGATAGGAGGGCTTGGTCATCTGCGAAGTCCAAATCGTCTAATTGGTTCTGAGTTGTCAATTGTATGCCGTGTTTTCCCTCAGATGTCATGGTCTTCATAATCCAGTCGACCACCAGAAGAGAGAGGAATGGAGAGAGTATACGGCCTTGTCTGACTCCGGTCCTTACTTCGAATGCGTCTGTCAGCTGTCCTCCATGCACGACGCTGCACTGTAATCCGTCGTATGAGTTCCGAATCATGTTGACAATCTTCTCAGGAACTCCTTAATGTCGGAGAAGTCTCCATAATGTTCTCCTGTCTACACTGTCGAACACTTCCTCATAACTAATGAAGTTGATGTACAGAGACGAGTTCCACTCAACTGATTGTTCGACGATGATCTGTAGTGTCGCAACTTGGTCCGTACACGACCGATCTTTACGGAATCCAGCCTGTTGATCTCGAAGTTGCGTGTCTACTGAGTCCTTCATCCGGTTCAGCAGCCCGCCTCTGTAGTTTTCACATTTGCCCGCATCTCCTTTCTTTGTAATCTTGATGAGGTGTCCTTCTTTCCAGTCCATCGCCACTTGTTCAGCCTCCCAACTCTTCCTGAATAGAAGGTGAAGCATTTTTGTAGTTACTTCGATGTCTGACTTCAGTGCTTTAGCTGGTATGTTGTCGCGTCCTTCTGCTTTCCCGCTCTTGATTTGTCTGATGGCCATTCTGATTCTTTCCGTCGTTGGTCGACTGACATCTGCAGGAAGATCTGTGTGTGCTGCTTCGATATCCGTTGGGTTCAGTGGGGCTGGTCTCGAAGTACTCTACCCATCTCTCCCGCTGTTCTTGAATTTCAGTGACTGGCCTGCCTTCTTTGTCCTTGACCGGTTTCTCTGGTTTACTATATCTCCCTGCTAGTTTCTTCGTTGTATCGTAAAGCTGTTTCATATTTCCTTCTCTTGCAGCTTTTCCCGCCGTCGTTGCTAGTTCTTCCACGTTTTTCTGCTTGTCGGCTCTAATGCTCTTCTCCAATTGCTTGTTTGCTTCTATGTACTCAGCTTGTGCTTGGACTTTCTCTGCCCGCGTTCGGCTGTTGTTAATTACTGTCTTCTTGTTCTTCCTTTCCTTGATCTTGTCCAGCATTTCTATAGAGGTACATTCCTTATGATGATGCTTCTTGAGACCCAGAACCGCCTAATACGTTGAGGTTAGTGCTTCTTTGATCCATTCCCAGTTGTCCTCTGTAGTAGTTTCTTCTTCTTTCAGCAAATCCTGTAAGGCTTGGAACCTGTTGTTGAGAGTTATCTTGAATTTGTTGAGGTTGTCAATATGTCGAAGGAAGGCTGTATTGAACCTTTGTAGTGATATTTGTTCAATAGTCTAGTTCTTCTTTAGCTTCAGTTTTAAATTGGCCTCTTCTAGAATTGACCCCTAATGTCGTCGTTGCTATCATTGGCGAGTGCGTCACATTGGATAATATTCATTGTGTTCCCCTCCTTCTTTGTTTTGAATTATGCTTTGATGATTCTGGATCCGCGAGGTTCCCATCCTATAGGTGCATTTCGTGCTTCTTTGAACAGCATCAGGGCAACTTCCTGAGTGTGTGGAGCATTCTGTTCTTCGTGGCCGGAGTATAGTTGCATCTCTCCCGTACTAAGCCTTTGTTGTCCAGCTTGGTTCCATCGGGTTTCGCTGATTCCTAGTACTGCAATGTGGTATTTCCTCATTTCCAGTGCCATTTGACTGGTCCTCCCGGTCTCTCACATTGTTCGGATATTCCATGTGCCTATAACAACTAATGCTCTGGTTGTTAGAAGTGGCATCGGCCTCGTAGGTTACGAAGAAATTCAGCTTTCACCATGAGCCGTCATAGTTCTTCTAAATGAAGACCTTCTAACTCCTAGGGCAGAGTTTAAATGGTTTGAATTAATTTTTCTGGTTAGCGTTTTTTCAGCGAGTTATTTTTCTACGGGATGGGGTCACTAACCACATGCCCAACCATCCTCCTTCACCCGGGCTTTGGACCGGCAGTAACTCTAGAAGGATCACAGGCGGAGTTATAGCATTTACATGCTTCAGCCAAATAAACGTGGTCAAACATCAGGCTCTAGCAAATATGGTCTTAAGCTATAAAGTTTCTGATATTTTAAGCTCGTTTCAGATTGTTAATACAGTGAGGGTCACGTATTTATCTGAACACTGATTTTTACTAAATCAACTGAGTGACGAAATAAATAGCATCACAAACACCCTGGACCTAGTTGCAATAGTGAGTGTTTAATCCGTTTCCTTTTGGATCATTACTACTATTCACAAATTGCCCTATATATGTCAAATTCATTTAATTGTCTCTACGCTTACAGACTGTAATATGCATTTGCGTGTTTTTGCAACGTGAAGTAACTTTCTGTACCTTAATATGAATTGTTAGTAATACCTGTTAATTGATCAAAATATCCTCATTTATTTTGTTTCATGTAGTTATCTGCATGTTTTCCGTTATTCTCTCCAAGGCGACAGAGTTTAACAGTTGTACATTGGACCGTACTGTGACTTTTGCTTCGGTGAAACGCGACCATAATGCCAGTAGTTCGGCTGTATGCAACGGCGAATTAAATAATGAAAGAGACATCTTTAGCCTTGATCAACGAAAGCCCTGACAAGGAAGATTGAAGAACACAAAGTGTGGTTACCAGTGAACGGTATTATAGGTTAAAATACAAGAAAAGAGAAGGAATAAATAAATGACTGTCCAATTAATTGCTGTGGAGAGAATTTCAGCGTATTGTTTTCGTTAATCTGACAGTTGTGCCGATCGTTCGTTTGGACATTATCTGTGTAACGGTTGAATGAGTAAATTCAAAGATATACGAATACTATGGTGGGGTTTGTGGGGAATTCTATACCCGTGTGGCATGTAAATAAACGAAAAGCGGGATCAAGATGACGTACATTTAATTAGGACGTCAGCTCATTGTCTGCCGTGTAAGATAAGAGTAAATGCACAACGTATTGTTTGCATCGGTAAGAAGGGTAACCACTCTCGAACCAAAGTTTAAAAGCTGCAGAAAATGTGACCGTTTCGTAAAAGGCTTACGTAGAAAGCTTGTTATCTAGCGTCACGTAACATATTACTTACGGTAATAAAACGAATTACTTGGTTACAGTTTTGGCTGAGATCGCTTGTGTACATGCAATAGCTTTTTCCACAATGGGTCTACTTACAAAGTATAAATATGCATGATTTTCATTAAAACTTGACGGGAATGGCACAATCTATGACTGGTTCATTTTAGAGTAAATACAAAACGTCATTAGGCCTCATAAACAGAATACGAAATAATCTAACGAAAGTGAGAAACTCGCCTGGATTACTCTCCCTTTTAAATAATGAAGTTTTGAAATAGACAGTAGTTCAAATTTAGATTACATGCAAGGTATTGTTGTTTTATTTTTTGGTCTGGTGTTACGTTGTAGACAAAATTTGTATGGGTCCAAAAGTAATTTGAACTAAATACGTAGCATTGGCAGTGTAGATCACTAACGCAGATGATCTGTGCCAAATGTTTGGGGGCCTGCCCAGGTTAGACGGCGATGGTGTGATCAATCAGCTGACGTTGAAAACACACTTCGAGGTTAGTACAAAAAATGGATTACCCTTCCAGGTAATACCGCTGCTTTAACGACCATACGGCACGAGCAACATTATTACAGAAATATGTTGGTAAGAGTAGGTACAACAAAGTGCGACCATCAAACATGGGCCAGTCCATGGCGTGCAATTAACTGGTGCCAGTTGGTTGTCCTTCACATTGATGAGAAGCGGTGAATTGTTCGGCAATCAGAGACCCAACTGCCAGATGATTTGGCTAGGACTCATTGATATTTTACTGGCCCTACAAATCTAAACGTCGATAGGCACAACAAAGGAACTCGTCGTCGTCTGAGACTACACTCTATGGGCCATCCATGTAAGGTGATCCATTCCTCGCCAATATACTTGAGCTTTGTCATATATATATATATATATCGTTCAAATTTCACATTTTGACACATTCGAAACTTTAACTCCTATTTTCGGTTATCAAGTTGCTTCAATCTTACTATTGTACTAACGATAGTAATTGTTGAGTGCTTTTATCAATAAATATATATGGGTTAAGTGCTCTTGCCTAGTGGTTGTATTACGTTACCTCCAATTTTTCACTCAGGTTCTTTTATATTCTCCTAGGACACAGCACAATCATACTAGACGTAAACCTTCCAAAGACTGAAAGTCACAACATCACGCGGATGGAATTAATGACAGTCAAAAATACCGCATCAAGGCAAACATTAATTTCACAGAGACACTTTGATTTATGTGATCTTTTATCGAAAAAAACCTAACAGATTGTGTCAAGTAAAACAAGAGTTCATTACAAACAGCTTATGATGGAGGTGCATAAAGCTAGTTGGTTTTAGAAACGAAGGTAGTTTGCTTACATTATGCCGAGCTTGCGAAACTGATGGAATGAATCCATCTAAACTCTACGCTGTCTCACCGTTTCTTTCCTTTAGTTTTCTGTTTTTATCAATTGTTGCTTCTTATTAGAGTCGGAGTAATCACTTTCTCAACAGGATAGTTTTATTTCATTTTGTCGCAGGATTATACAAGTTACTGATTATTTCAGATGAATGAGGTATTTTTTTCATTATCTAGTGATTTAAAATCTTGAAGTTTATTAGTTTGTTTGCACATCTTGGCGGTGTACCGTCTCATTTGCGGGAAGTTTGGTTTCTCTGGCTATGGAGCGAACTAACTCTGTAAGGTCTTAGGGATATAAAAAAATCCCAGTTAATGACACTTTTTTGTCCTGGTCTCTTAAAAAAGCGCTAGCGTCATCCATCTGTACATGGTACTTTTGAAGTTGTATACCACACTACAGGACAGTCACTGTAACCTGGTTACGATTCCCTCCGTTTTGATGTCTTAATTTATTCATGTTTTGAATTGGTTATTCATCTTTGTAGCTGAGGTAGCTTCTCAAATTACAATGAAAAGAATTGTTAAGGTTTTGAATCTGACATTTCATAACGAGGTGTGTATTTACATTTCATTATTCGTTACCTAATAATAATTATAATTTCTTAGTTGTTTCGAATTGTCTTAAGGGTGTAGTTTTTCGATAAAAAAAGCTAGCATTGTTTGAACAACAAGCAGGAGGTGACCTAAATCTTCACTGATGAATGTTCATGTTTGCTTATGGTCTAATTAACAACATAAGTAGCATAGGAGTCAAGATATGATGCTATCAATCAAATTAAGGAAGAATAATAATAGCAAACATGATTCGAAGCAAAGAACGTTCTCAATAAAAAATGTGGAGTAATATCGGAAATCAAGATTTTCCGAATATAAAGTGTAAATTTATGTTTGTCACAGTGATCGACTTTTAATGAGCTAAATGTCATCCCATATGCTTCTTTTTGGGGAACCTCAAGACTGGCCATATCAAGCTGTATGTGATCAGTAATGATATTTGTCTTGGTGAGCTTAGTTAATTTAATTTATGTATGCTGGGTTACAAGCTTCTGTGTTCTGTTCAAACGTAAATCTTGAAAATGCAAAAGATTCTCAGGATACGTTTGCCAAACAGCCCCAATTATTTGTTAAACTTTTCAAGTCACTACACAGCTGTCGATGATTTGTGGAAAAAAACTGGAAATGAGTTATGTTGTACGTTTGGCTTGAATTTATGCAATTACCTAATAAGTACCTATTTACTCAGTTATGAAATGCCTTAGTCATATGGTTAAAAAGTATATATTTGGGACTTGTTGTAGGGTGGCAAATACCAGACAACCTGGTGAGACCTTACGAAGAAACAATGACAGTTCAGGATAAACATACTTTTGGGAATTTTACTGATATCAAACTGTTTGAATACTCCGCCAATCATGGACGAATGTAGTATCTAACCTTTCCATGAATCGATCATTTTTACTGTCTAGTAGTATATGCATTACAGGTTGGGGATTCTCCGTTTCTAATGATATCCAGAAAAAATATATACTAACTAGTTGGAATATCTTACCGAAGCGTTTTGTTATGGTTGGTAATGCTGGGGGAATGTCCTTTGGGATTTTTCACGTAATATTTACAAAAAAACAAAAAGTTTACTTATGCCAATATTTGTTTGTTCAATTTCTCTAAGTCCTGAACTATGATGTTTGCAGCGCTTGAGGAAATCCCATTTTAAGAACCAGGTGTGTCACCTATTTCTGCCGACTGAAACCTTATTTACTGAATTGCAATTGTCCAGTTAAAACATAAGATTAGGTGATCATTTTTCGCGAAGCTGTCAAAGATAGGCACCAGTAAGCATATTTAGTTATAGTTATCTAGCTGTCAAAATTCTTATTTTGGAGGGAAATAGATGACTTAGCAGTTACTTTACGGGTATTCTAATGTAAGAGCTTGATCCATACTAAGGCACATTTTGTGGCGAATTCATGACATTTTCTTGTGTCTATAGTGAATATTATTCCTCGGAAGTATCGTTATGAAAGATTACTGAAAATACGAAGTATGTGGTTGGGTAATCAATTTTTGTTATTGTTTTCTATTTTACTAAATGTGGTTAATATTACATTACTGGGTTTTACATCTGAATACTTTGTATAGACATGTTTTCTCAAAAATCCTCTTACACAGAAATCAACTGAAAAGATCGTCACAGATTATCAAAAGGCACATAAACGCGCTGAGCTTGAACGTTTACGTATAGCCAGAGAGCATCAAAGGGAACTAGAAAGAAAACAAAAAATATTGGAGAAGGTTTCTCTTTTCGATTATTTAAACACTTCTGACTAGGAAAGGCAACAACGAGAAAGACAAGAAAAGAGAGATGCTGAAGAACGTAAGAAAGAAGAGAAGCGTTTGAAACGTAAGGAAGAGCAGCGCAAAAAAGAAGAGGAAAGAGAAAATGAGCGTAAAAAGAAGGAGTATGTTTCATGCTACTCAAATTTCTTAGTTTCGTTTGTCTTCTTTATTCAATACTCATTTTTTGTTTTAGGGAAGAAAAACGCAAGAAAGAGGAAGAAAAACTGCAAAAAGAACAAGAAAGGAAAAGGGAAGAAGAGTTAAAAACCCAGAGAGAAGAAAAACAACGGGCAGTTTTGTTAGGATTTCTTGTGAAATCAGAAAGCAAAAAGGTCTTGTAATTTTCATTTAATGTTTTATTTGTTTATTAGGAAACCAATACCATCTCTTGTACAGACTGTGGACCATTTATACAATTTGAAGTCAGAAAAGATATGAGAATGGCTCCTTTGCATAGAATGTCACAGGCTTTACTTTCCTCAAAGCGAAGCAACATGGAAAACTTACGACATGCATGGGTAAACGGAAACGACAAGGATGCAGCATCATCACTTGGGTTACTTAAATTCGGACGTGCTAACTATCTTCATGAACTACGAACAGGACAGATATTACCATTATCCTATCCAAGTACTTGGCCAATGTACGTTGTCTTATATATATATATATATATGTCCATATCAACCACTGCTAGTTATCATCAGTTCAAATCACAGTTTCCTGTGAACGACCATAACAATTAGTGTTTATTTGGAGAGCGTTTAGTATATCGTATTCACATTTGACACCTTCGGTAGTAGAAACTGATAAGATCTATTTGGTTATGTTGAGCTCACTTTCTGACCATAGCTGCTACCTTGACATGATGATCGGGGTTAGATATTGGGATGATCCAATCTATCTATATTGGGTGGAACACTTGTTCCTTTAAGTCCTATCATACCGTTCAGGTCGGTTTTAGAACGGTAAGACCAAAAACAGCAACTTAAGGTCCAAGGACATAGTTGTACTGCTGACTGCACAAGGGTGTGACGACAGTAATGTATTCCCCTCAAATAACTATAATCTATAACGGTACTTCATTCTCAAAAAAAGTTTAGAAAAGACTTACCCTAAACTTAGAATACCTCATCTTACTCTACGGAGTTTTGACTTCCGTGGTCGGGGCTTTTGAAATACGAAGCTAACACATCAAAAACTCCTCACAAAAGGTTGATGTGTAACCGGCCTCAAAGAGTTGTACCCTGGGTGCTGTGGTCACGCTTTCAGGTCGCTAAGATCATCACTAATACAGTTTTCCCTCCCAGCCTTATCAATAAGAAGCATCTTTCCGCGGTGTGGGGAACCAGGAAGTGACAACTACCTTCATACCCGTAGCAACACGTGAGATCACCTCGGTCATAACCAGACGCCATCTTCACTAAATATCACTTCTGCCAACTCTCACCTTCTGTATTTGACTTCCTCAACACGTTCTGTCAATACTAACGATTCGAGTTCACAAAATGCCATTCCAGATCACCTAAAACCTCGCTTCAAACCATGTGTTGCAGCTTTAATGCCTGAACCCTATGTCCAATTCGAACAACAGAGGTCACTGGCTATGATCCTAGAATCTCGTTCCATCGATTTATGCTGTTTATATGATCCTAGCTTGGTGATTCACTTGACTTCACCCAGCCAATATAGGGGGCAAACGTAATATACCCTTTATATATCTAGAGACGCGACAGCAACTCGTGATCTTTCTGGTATAAATATAGCAATAAATCTGAACAAGAATTTCTTATCGAGATTTCCATCAACAGTTGCTTATTTGGTGTCCATCTCAATGGTAAGATATAAACTCAGGAAGGCGAATACGTCGTTGTTTTTTTTATCATTTCTGCCTATGGTCCCACTGACCACTTTCCGTATAGAGTAAATAACAAGTTTTACTGGAAACGTCATGGTCTTTTTCAGAAAGCCACTCTCAGTATTATTATTTTTTAAAAATTATTATCTGAACACATAGATATTGGTACAAGGAGGCACCAAATACATATGCGCCACACAAATCTCATTTGATATGTGTGAAGGCTACGATACTGTCCGGGTGCGCAAACCGAAGCAGGTGGTGTTCTTAGGGGGCCACACCCTGAACCTTCGATCTGGGAGTCTGATCCACAAGGCAGTGGAGCAACGTGAGTAGATGCAGTTCCATGGAAGCTGGTAACCAACGGTTGGTTCATACGCCATTTCTTCCTTCAGGATACTGGAGCCCATGTACATCATTGGTTTTAAATCAGGGTTTTCCAACTCCCCTAGGTGGACTCTCCATGTCCACCAACCCGGTTAAAGCTCTGGACATTCGCTTCTCGTCCTCTCAATTTCGTAAACAACACCCCCACCACGAGAAGGTAGTGAATAGGACTTCTCTGGCAGAGGCTATATACGCGTGGCCATGTGAGAGCACTTCGAGAGGGAGAGCGAACTCTCCCCACTCTCGGCCGTACCATGGCATTTGGGGGCAAAAGCACTGAGCCCGACGTGATATGGCAATCGTTGCAGCGGATTTTTACACTATAGTTAGTAGTATGAATCAAACTAAAAATTCGTTTGGGTGGGTCGTATAGCGTTGTAGCTCAACAAATGGATAGCAACGACTGTCTGTTTTAATTTTGCTCAAACAACTAATTATTCCTAGCAGGTAAAAACTTAAAGCACAACGTTAGGTATTATCTAGTCTGGCGGCCCACGACATTAATACAAAGATGAACACGCATAGGTCATATCACCATTAGCCATTGTTAGAGAGACTCAACAGAAAACTAACTCTTCTACTGGAGTACATGCCTAGACTCAGATTATGCCCTATCAGTAGTAGTGTAGTGAACGAGAACACAAGTGGGGACAATTGGATATATTTGAATACAAAATTACAGAATCACTTAATAAAATCTGAAAACCATACAGTAAATACTTCATTTGCAAAATGTCAATCAATCGTCTCATGTTTCATTGTTCTTTCGTTTCCACATCAATCATTCTTTGTTCTCGTGCTCTTTTCTTTGATATCCTTAACCTTCTGCCTCGAGGCATTTAACTTTCGATCGATGATACATACTGCTTATATGTGTCGACATCAGTAGCACACATTTCTGTTAGTTTTACTGGACGTAATAAGGTCACAGAAAGGAAACTCCTTCGATATCAATCCGAAGATGAGAATGTGAAGGAAATATTCAGTTAAGAATTAGCTAAGCACCTAGTTGGTTGTAGGGAAACAGTTCATTTTGAACAAGCTTGGAAAAGCATCCATGCAGCCGTAAATACAGCAGTCACATCTATTAACAACTAGCTCACATGTCCAGGAAAGATCAAGGGATTCTGACAGCATGTACTGGATTAATAGAGGTTCGAAAACATCCTATCGAATAAAGATAAAGAGCAACGACAGCTCAAACTTATACTAATAAAAGGTGTGAGACTATCTTGGTAAAGGACCAAGCTATTATTCACTCTTAATCTAAGATTAGATAGATGGGCAGAACATTTTAGGGAATAGTTCAACTGACCTCCAGCTGCTTTTCAGTTACCCTCTATCTCCAACCGACCTGAATGGCAAATCAACATGAGTTCTTCGACCCTTAATGAATTTGGAGAGGTTATGTATAATCTAAAATGAGAAAGCTGCAAGCTCTGATGTCTCGACCCCAGAGATCTTTAGTGATGATGGTTCAGTTTTAGTGTCTAAGTTGACTGAGATCTTACCTAGAGTCTGAGAATTAGACGTAATCTGACTAGTCCCGATAACTGACAATTATAATCTACAAAAAGGAACAAAAATCCTCTTGTGATAACGACAGAGGAATCAGTTTGATTAATGTGATGTCTAAAATGTCAGCTTCAATAATCACCCAACACTTAATTTGTTCTGGTAAAGAATAAACCGAGTGAAACTAGGCCAGTTTTAGAAGTGGACGCGTTTGGATACACCAAATATTCACTTTTCAAGTTTTCGAAAATAGGAATGCTTACCGACACCCGACTATATTGGTTTTTCTTGATATCATTGGGCTTTGTTGACCTAGGGTTTTTATGTCAATGTTTGTTATTGAAAGGAGTATCAAAGTAGATGAACCTTATGAAAGCTTTACTCAGACACAATTGAACAACTATCATCAGAACTGTTAAATTCAAGTGGGATTCATCAGTTCTACCCTTTATTTCCGTTTTTATTTAATTTTGTCATCTATGTTCGCTTTAAATTAACAATTTACTCGACTATTCAGGGGTTAATCTCCTACTGAGAAGTTCTCTTACTCGATGGCTTTGATACATGGTTTATGAGGGTGGGAGACATGTGTAGGTTGCAGGCATTCGATCATAGATGTTTTCGAGAGATTGTTCGCGTATCGTGGAGCAATTAAGCAGGTGTTGTTGAGAATGGGGACAAGTCGGTTGATGAAGAAGTGAATCTTCATCGACTAAGGTGTTTATGACCTCGTTAAGTGATGCTTGTTCGTGCAGAAATAGGTTGAAAAACAGCGAGGAGCAACATAACAAAAATGAGGTATCACTCGACCTTACTGACTGCTGGTCGGAGCCATGTTGCTAAGTTTAGATTACCTGGTTGGGGTCCGTAAGATAACCTCTACCCATGGTTGAAGTGGTTGAGTGACATGGCTCACAGTCGATCTCAGTGGCGCGCATGCATTCACATGCTACCTCTATAGATCAGTGTTCCCAATATTCCTCCATACATACCTTCCCAACAACTTTTCGAACCACATTCTTAATGTTTATTCTTTCTTATTATTTTTGCTGCTACATTATTTCGGTTTCTCTGACGTACATCTTGTTAATTTCATTTCGTCGACCTAATGTGATATGACAACTTAGACTAACGCCTGTTTGAGCCGGGCTCTATTTTGATATCTATCTTTCTGAGTTCACCCTTATCAAGCAGCTTTCGTTGACATACATTTTTGTCTGTCTCTTTGTTGATTATTTCTAACTGGCTGTCCCAACTGCTACTTGTTTGTTTAAAAATCATTAATCCGAAGACATTTAAATTCCCAAACGTAACTCTTAGAATCTGAAGTTTACCGTTAAGTACACGAATTTTGTCTTTATCCATCATTTGATCCTGTTGTGTCTCGGTGTTCTTTGAATACGGCGAAATTTGTCATAATCTGATGGTGGGATGATTCAGTGGACGACTGACGGCAACAGATTTTCCACCAGTAATCTGCACTGTGAATGGTGTTTTGATGTTTAATGAACGCCTTGTTTCGTCGCAATGTCTTCCAAAGTTCTCTCTGTTAGCTCCAACTGAAATAACTACAAAGTTTTTCAACGACCTTTTTTGATTTCAATAGGCAATAATTCACACTTAAAGTTTAGTCTTGTTCATATAGTAGTCGTTCAAAACTATCATGCTGAATAACAGCTATTGTAGCTTTTAGTTTTATATTGTTTCTCAGTGTTTACCCCTTCATTGAAAGGTGACGTGTTTTCATCTTTTTCACTGTCCATAGCCTATATTTAAGTTTAGACAGCTATTGATTTGTAACTTTTGACAATGCTTCCTCAATATTTTTTTTATTCCCTTCTCTCTTAGTGGTAAATAAAATTCCTGATCAATTTGCTTTTTAATTCGGTAGTTCTTGCGATTTCTTTTAGTTTATTTATGGTTTCTATCACCAAATCAAATAATTTGAAGGACCATTAAAATCTATGAAACACTAAGTCTCTGTTTTACTTTAGCTTGAAACACAGTCTGCACTCAATTTCAGAGAATGTTAGACGAGGTACTAATATTACGTTGTCTACAGGAACTATTTTCACGAATTCAAAAAGAAAACACATCAGAAAACTTATTACTTTTGTTAAATATGGTGATTGTCTACTCGCTTTATGAATGAAAGTATCTTATTTCGTATTTCATATCTAGTGAACCTCCCGAAGTTCAATATCTTGGAGATAATATCCATCCTGTTATAAACTCGATCGCTTTAAAACAACACGGTAATCGTGGTAGTGGTGGAACAGTATGGCTACGTGCAAAGTTATTCCAATTCGTTGAAAATTATCGACCTGCATATTATGGTACATGGCGACGTCGTAGTTGTATTGTTACTGGGCGTAGACCATTTGCTCGTGATGATTATCAACTTGATTATTCCATCGATTCAGATGATGAATGGGAAGAAGAAGAACCTGGTGAAAGTATCACGCAGTCTGATGTGAGTTAATTCATTAGAAATGATAAATAAACAGTTTTGCTTTGTTAAAAGAATACGTAACGTAAAATAACAAAATATGATGCCCGATAGTATGTACTTAACATTTGCACTGATAGATCTGTCCAATGGGTAGTATATACTCCAGATTATTGACTGGACACTTTGAAATTGGAAAACGGATTATGAATGAGTAGGAAACAATCCATAAATGATATTCGTTATTCTTGTAACCTCTTTTTATATCTTTGATCAAATTTTACTCACAATTTTTGGTACTTTATTGTTTTTTGCTATTTTAAATGACAAAAGGAAATTTCCAGTTAATTTCACATGTATTTATTCATTTAAATGTTACGACTGTGAAAATACAGTGTAGATAGAAAACGGGTCTTTTCGCTCAATATTTGGAAAAGTTTACACCTTAATTTTTAAATCTGAAAACTATCTATGTCAAATTGCTAGGCACCGGTTAATAATTCGGTTTCTACTATTTGACAGTGAAATAATACTGGATTTTCTAAGTTAAAGCTTTAAACATACCATTGGCATAAATTTTAGTGCAGCTACATTTATTTTAGATTGATAAACTTAGTGGTAGACTTTTATTTACTTTGTCTTTCAGCTTATTTTTACGCCATTTTTTGGCTGTTTTTTTGTAATCAATTCAATGTAATTTTACGTGATTTTAATTGTGATCCGAGTTATATGTGGTTTTACAAGTTGCTTAGTTGAATATAGCCAGTACTTTTTTAAAATGGATAGACACATTTAGTGTTTTTGCTTGCAAATTACCCCTAGCCTTATCAATGTTTTCTTCGCCTACTCGAAAGAATTTAGATGTGTTAGTTATTTTCACACAGAAAATGACCGTTTGTTACATTGATAAAACATAAAATTTTCGATCTCATCTCTTTCTGTTGACTTCTAGGTGTATATGTGTGATAGTTTGGGTAATGAAAATGTTAACCTTCATCAACTGAAGAGTAGTAGAGGCATGCTATTCATAGTTAACTGTCGTCTATCCCGATGTGCTACACTGGCCGTCTTGATAATAGGCTAGCAAAATTTTAACGTTATTAGACTAAGACATCTGGGATCCATTAAGCCATTGATTGTTAGTTCCATGCATATTGACAGGTGTAGATCTTCTGATTGAGTACCTTAAAATAATCGTAGTTGATATGATTGAAAAGGTGAGTTGAAAGGTTTCATAATCAGTTCTTTGAAGTGAAATAAACATATTTGTTCTTTACACTGTTCATATGATCGTTTTGTGCATTTCATACCAAGAGTTGATTTGTTTCTTTAAAATTACAGTCTTCATGTTTAATTATTTTCCACTACTTCTGACATTATTATGTTTCTTGTTTCTGATCTTGTTGATTTTGTCTTATTTCTTTTATGTAATATGTGACAGTTTTGACCGATAAACATTTTGAATTCCATTCGAATTTTTTCTTAACTATTTGTTTATTGACTTACATTAGTAGTGCCATGTGAATTACTGTAATTCAATTAATTCTTTTTATTTTAATTATTTAGTTCATCTTCTGGGAAAATACCACTTCATCCTGCTATTTATGTGAAAGTTTTGTACATTATGCGGTTTTTGCACAGTTTATTCCATTACATATGATGTATTTTTGTATGACAGTTACACATAGATGCTAAAATTATCAACTTTGAAAGACTATCATCTTGAGCATACCGGAAGAATGTGCAAGATAGTAACTGCTTTTCCATATTAAAAAGTTTCTCTCGGTCATGATGTGAAACCAAGCTATTCACATAAATGGTAAACCTGGATTATTTACTACATTCTAAACCACTGGCAAGATAGAACAAAATCCAGCGAGAATAGCTTCATAAGTTTTTATTCTGATTCAGTGAAGCATGCAAGATTTAAAATACATCTTATACTACACGTAGGATGTCTAGATACGACCTTAAAAACTACAAATAGTTTTGAAAACCCCAAGCGTAATAAATAAATCTATTTTAAACTTGGTAAAAATCTATACTGCTGATCCAGAAACCAAATTTGTTTTAATAGAGAAATTGCATTTGAGATTAAACCACTGATTCCTCATGGTTATTCATTGAGGCGAACTATTGGCATTTCGGCATCGATACGTGTTCATTTTAAATTATCTCACTTTCCGCGATTCGGTCAGTGAATTTCAACCATTATAACGTTATTCAATTTATTTTGGTGATTTTTTTTTGCAAATCTGATTTGCAAACTTGCTCCCCTAGCCAAATATTATGATATCGTGGTATACCGTGCTCCCACCCGTGATATAGGCTCGAATTTCTGAAGACAGCATTATTTTTCACAAGATTGTTTGTGAGTATCGATTCAAATGAAACCTAAGTTTAAGAAATTCTTATTGAAGTCTTATAGTCATTTAATTTGTTTTATTGGTTCACTTCTTATGTAATAAAATTTTCATGTCCACTCTATTTTCATTCCTGTTCATTCAATCCGAAAATGCATCATTTTACTAGACTTTTTCCTTTTGACAACTATAAATTTTTATGCCTCTCAAATTTTAATATGTTAGTTTTAGTCGAATTTGACATAACTCGCGATTGAAACTGTTCGATATTTTGTAAGATTTTTCCACCAGTCTCACCATTATTATTATTATTCTTAATTATTATTAGTTCTTCATTATTATTATTATTATTATTATTATTATTATTATTATCCCGGAGTTCAAATAGAATCTTTAGAGGACGAAAAAGAGAATGAGAGAGTTTGCAAGAATATTACTTTATCCAACGTGTACAGCTGTGGCTCATTCGCACCAAGCACTCAGCAACATCCAGCTGTTAAATCACGATTTCGTATCACCCTCCAGCTGTTGAGGTTTGGCCAGTTAACTATGAGCAGCGTAAAACCTGGTACATATATGCATCAGTTTAAGTTACCACATCACGTCACAACAAAATAAAATTATCAAGAAAAGTGCTAGAGTAGTAGAAATAGTAACTGCATCGGTGATAGCAGATAAGATCAGACGTAAGTGTTATGATTCGCGAAAAAGTGAATTTGGGGAATAATAATTATAATAAGTACTTTAAAACAAAAGTGAATGGGACATTAAAGAGGAAGAATGTATTTGTAAAATCTCAGCGAAAGAATTTAAAGTAAATCCAACGTTTCGCTGAGATTTTACAAATACATTCTTCCTCTTTAATATCTCACATTAACTCGGCGCCCAAATACTGTGAAACTATTCGATCAAATTGAGACGAAAGTTCTTATTTATTAAAAAGTGAATAAATCCAATGTATTGCGACCGATTTCGAACCATGTCACTCAATATCTTCAACTATTAATTACAATAATTGAGGTTCCGAGAATCAAGTAATGCATCACTAGACTTTTTCACATCACGCGTAATTAATAAATAAGTGCAAAACGTTGTATACAGGCTAACTGACTGTTGCATTCATTACTTCATTTATATCACATCTCCATTACCAACTATGCTCAATGTATGGGTTTTGATTAGTATATTGTATTTATTTTCTGGACCAGAATGAAGATGAAGAAGACGAGGATGAGGAAAAAGGTGATGAAGATGACGATGATCAGTTCTTTGTTCCACACGGCTATTTATCTGATGATGAAGGTGTTGCTGTAGAAGAAGGTGATGGTCCGATCCCTGATGAAATGAAGCAATTGCGTCAACAGTTATCTGTTGCGGAGTATGAAGCAGCTCATCGTCGTGGACTTCAACGTTTAAAACCATTATTACTAGGACCTTTATGGTTGCCTGAACCAGTTGAATGTTGTTTACCAAGCAGTAATGCAAGTAACAATAATACTACTAGTGCTACCACTAATAATAATCATCATTTTGAAGAGAATAAAGAAAACATCGAATTTCCTGAAAGATTTATTCTCAGTAAGCAAACCAATGAGAAAACTGAATTCCAATTAATGAAATCTGTTTTAAGCGTCTATCGTGTAAGTGTGTTTCGCATAGGACAAAAAAAAGCTTTTTTATTACTTAGCATACTCTGTTTTAATATAAGTTTTATTGTCTGTCTAGTGGTATATTTGAAAGTAGTCTAAACTTACAGTTCTGATTTTCGGTGAGTAATATTTGTTTGCTGTAATTTGTAAGTTTCATAATTTTACTGACTTACGTTCAATAATATTATATAACTAACACAACTGCCGTCGGTTTCATGTTATAAATATTTTTCGGAAAATATTTTTTTTGTGGGAGATATTGTGTTTTTGTAAGCAGCAGTGGTTTGGTTTACTACCACTAAGCAGCGGGTTTGAACTCCGCTTCATTTCGGTTTTACCAAACGGCTAGTATCACTGGCCCACTTATTTGAAGTGTATCTGGAAGATAAGTACACAAGTTTAGTTTAATTTTAGGTTCTTCGTTGTCTTTCTAGACAATATCATCAGTATCATTTTCTGGGTTTCATGAAAATGTTCATTTATACAGGATAACGTTGCTGTAAATGCGGTACTATATACTGCCGAAATCCATAAAGCAGTGTTAAACACCATACATTTTATCTGGTTTTTTACCAATGAAACTTGGATTTTTTGATGTAATTGCGATAATTGTTTTCTTTTATACAGTAGATGCTACAGAGCAATACTGTAAACTACACAACCAAGAGATTTATTATCATTTCTAAAAATAAATCTGGTGTTTTTTTAACTGTTACCTATTCAACTAATGCTTTTCACTCAACTAGTTTACTAACGAGATTGAGTAGCAAACCGAATATGTACAAAGAAAAATTAGAATAAAAAAATCTACTAAATAAAAAACACGAGAGTGTATATGTAAATTATCTGAAGAACTTCCAGCAACCTTCTTGACTCACCTACCAATTCTGATTGGCTAGTCTTTGAATACGCATAGAGTCAGTCTTTTCATGAGTAACTCTGCGTTCTCAGACTTGGATGGTTTAATGAGAATACTTTCATTATCAACAGCACCAACTTGGAAAAGATGTTTTTGAAATTTCCCTTTAGCGTAATACAATACAACTCAGTAGTATTGCTATGTGTCAGCCTGATATGCTTAGTTCAAAGTAGTATTTGTTGTGTAAAGACAACTGTTTCACCATTCAATCTCCGAGTAAATTATTAAAGGCTTCGAAATCCTGCAGCCCTAATTGTTCAACTTAAGTCCATGGGCTGTTTATTTTGTACTGTAAGCTGTATTGTTCGGTCTTCCAGTTTACTTTTGCACTGATGGGAAAAGGCTGTGTTTTTAGGAAAATATCTTATGGAAAATGTACATCTGTCATACAATCAGTTCCTTTTACGAATTTGAATAAAGTCAAAACAGCCGTTATTCTGCCTCATTTGTTGTTTTGCCTGAATTCAAATGTACATCTTGACGATCCATCTTGATCATCAGTTATTTCTACTACATTGTACTCAGCTAACACACTAAACATGTTTATGAACAGATAAAAAGTGACTTGTAGAATGTCAGTTATTACGTGTCTAATATACATCTTGTTTCCTCTAAGCAGTGTTGCACATGGTATACAATAATTTCAATCAGTGAAACAATCACGCACTATTACATTGTGATGATTTGTAAATAACTTAGTGTAGACCATTTTACAGTTTGGTAGAGAAATATCAGATTTATAGTTCTGATTTTTTTGTATAATACTAGTTTATTCATATTTACACTTTTTATTTGACCATAGGTGCATTTATGGACAACAAATTTTCCGATTTCTGTTGAACCAGATATTGTTGCCACTACTACGCCTTCAAGAAGACCGAAAAAATCTATCCCAGAAGAAGGTTATTACACAGTTCTCTTAATAATAAAATTCCGGTGTAATGCTAAAATATTTTTTATGTAACGGATTATTATTTGCTGGACGGGAAGTGTTAAGGGAAAGGAAGAACTGAACACTTCCGTCTCAGTGTCGTTCGAGGCTTCGTTGTTGGTTGCCAGGTGTGAATGTAGTTGTCACTTCCCAGTTTCCCATACTACGGTAGAATACTTCTTATTGATAAATCTAATGTGGGAAGGAAACTAAATTTCTATTTTACCATTGAGATGGACACCAAATAAGCAACTGTTGATGGAAATCTCGATAAGAAATTCTTGTTCAGATTTATTGCTATATTTATACCAGAAAGATCACGAGTTGCTGTCGCGTCTCTAGATACATAAAGGGTATATTACGTTTGCTCCCTATATTGGCTGGGTGAAGTCAAGTGAATCACCAAGCTAGGATCATATAAACAGCATAAATCGATGGAACGAGATTCTAGGATCATAGCCAGTGACCTCTGTTGTTCGAATTGGACATAGGGTTCAGGCATTAAAGCTGCAACACATGGTTTGAAGCGAGGTTTTAGGTGATCTGGAATGGCATTTTGTGAACTCGAATCGTTAGTATTGACAGAACGTGTTGAGGAAGTCAAATACAGAAGGTGAGAGTTGGCAGAAGTGATATTTAGTGAAGATGGCGTCTGGTTATGACCGAGGTGATCTCACGTGTTGCTACGGGTATGAAGGTAGTTGTCACTTCCTGGTTCCCCACACCGCGGAAAGATGCTTCTTATTGATAAGGCTGGGAGGGAAAACTGTATTAGTGATGATCGTTCACAAGAAACTGTGATTTGAACTGATGATAACTAGCAGTGGTTGATATGGATGTTTGCTTTTGTCATTCGCAATTTAAATGGGTTCTGAAAACTATATTAATCCTAGTAATAATAATAGTAATAATAATAATAAACAACAATAATAATAGTGATAATAATAGTAGTAATAATAATAGTAGTAATGATAATAATATTTCAATAGCATTGTTTCATTTTCTGTGTATAATTTGGGCTTTTTTATAGCGATGGCGTATTTTATTCACCTTGTTCATCGGAGTCCTTTGGGAAAGCATAAATTAGCTTTTGAATTTCGTGTATTTTGGTATCGTCATACTACTGGCATTCTACCAGAATGCTTACAATATATGGAATATAAAAAATATAATGCTTCTTCATTGGGTTCATCAATCTCACGCGGTGGTGGTCTTCCTGTTTTATCTGGTCCAGGTTGGGATAGTTTACCATTAAGTCAATCACTTGTGTTATCCAAATTATCTGAGATCGCGGTTTTCACAGAAGGAAGGTAATTTACCTCACGTTGTTTTTCTCAATTATTTTCACATTTTCATACTTTCAATCATGAGCTTATCTCAGTTGGACTGTCATTGGGAATCTAGAGCTACTGGACAGCGGTCTCTTCTCATTATGGGACTGCTCAACAGTGCTCATCCATGACCTCAGATCCGGGGATCATTCATGATTGTTTTACCTTTAGATCACTGACGCCGACATCCAGCAGTGATAATGCCTAACTTCAAGAAACTCACAATATTGCACAGTCCTCATCGATTGCCTTCGGTAGATAATCGTCACACCCAATGTAGTTGATTTTCACTGACCACAGCTCACTAGACTTCCAGAAGTTATATCTTGAAGCCAGTCACTACTACGCACACGATTATTATTTATATAGGTTTTGTTGAGATCTTGGATGCTCACTTCTGAGAAGAAAAGACGGTTGTCCAGTGTTTCGGGGTTTCTAATGATGGTTTAGTTCATATCAGTTTACGATTAAAAACTATGATAATGCTACAATCTCCACAAACTGCCCTGTATCTTTATATTTTTGCTTACTTTGAAACGGAACATATTCACTGTTTAGCTAACTTACTACATGAATCTTGTAATTTTTAGAAAGCAGTGCCGTGGTTGTCTAGTAGCTAGAATGTTCAACTTATTAACACCAGATTACAGGTTCGAACCCCGCCTTCCCTAATCCGGTTATGGCAGTTTGTAACATCACTCGATCCCTTGAATCTGAAGTATATCTCAAAGCTGATTACATAAGTCTGTACTTGGTGAAATGAATTACATTATGATCAATATTGTCGTTATTATTATTATTCTGAAAAAGTCATGTGTTATCCAAATGATAAATTAACTATTCAATTTGTTATCAATTTCAGTACTATGATGAAAATATTTATCTTGTAATCGGCATCGTGGTAGCATATAAATATATAGATTGGTAGTAATAATTTAGATTTTTTTACCAAACCTCTAGTTTGTTATAGCGTAACTCGTATTCTTTGTAATGTAAGCTTTCATCTGCCATTTGTTAGATAACGTGACTCTAATCCCACTTCAAGTCTACTCAAGATTGAGTAATAACTGATCTTTGTTAAGTCTCGACTCAGTTACTCTTACTGTATTTTAGTATTCTTTGGACACTACCGATTCCCAATTCGGAATACGGGTTGGTCAGGAACATATGTATATTCTCATAAAACCACAAGCTTACTAAGTTGATGTTACGGTAAAAATTCTTGTAGACTTATAACTTTTATACAGGAAATTCCTAGGGCGTCTCCATTGATCTGCTGGTGCTGACTAGCTAAGGATGAACCAATCAGCGTGCTGCAGTGTAATTCTGTGTGGAATATGCTTTGAGTTAATCTATGTACGGTTACACGACCGTGTTGGTTCAGTCACTTTTTGCATAATAAATATGTTTGTTATCAGAACGAGGGTTTTGCGGAGATTTTAGTAATTTAATAATTGGATTCATAAGTCAATTATAGCTAGACCACCATGGAAAACCTGGACTCACTGGACGGCTATTTCGTCCTAGTATGGGGCTCGGCAGTGCGCATCCATAATCCCGCCCGAGAGATTCGAACCGTTGGATGCCTGCTCAGTGGTTTGGAAGTTAGGGGTTCGCGCGCGAAACCGAAGGTTCTGGGTTCGGATCCTGCGAGCGGGATCGTGGGTGCACACTGCTGTGGAGTTCGATACCAGGACGAAACGCCCGTCCAGTGCTTCCAGATTTTTCATGGTGGTCTAGCTTTAATTGACTCATGAATCCAAATATTAAATATGTTTATCTTTTTAAGTGATCCGGTGTATGCATTTCTTATCAGTATACACATCGTTTTATTTATACCATAAAAATCTTAAGAATATTGAGTTTTTAAACGATCAGGACGTATAAATGAAATCGAATTTTACGATTTTATTTTCACCTATTAAATAAATAACCACTATTTCTTGATCTTCGCTTATTTTGTGTACTACAAATTACTTTTTATACTTACCATTTTGCTACGTTTGAATCCATTTGTTATGGTATGTTATCCTTCAGTAATTATGTATTTTCATTTTTCGTTAACGTTTTATACATTCACTCTTTGTCTTCCTTGAGATCTTAAGTTTCTGAATTCCTCATAAATTTTTTTAAAAATTATCTCACCTATTTATATTTTCTTTTCGAATTGTATCCTATATGCCTAATCTTTTTTATTACCATTATTACTGTTACTGACTTCACTATTTTAGGATTTACCCTGACAGTTTTATCGCGCTATGTTTATGGGATGTGGGAACTTAAACCGATGTACACATGTGTCAGGTTCTACGTTGCATTGGACTGGATGACTAAACTTCTTATAGATTCTAAATCTTAATATGTTTACAATGGTGTTATTTTCTTTATTTTATCCAATAATCACATGCTTTTAGGTGGATGGTTAACACAGAAATACTTCAGAAATATGCTTCACGTCTTTGTAATCTGTGCAATATTCAAGAATTAAGTGGTGGTATTGCTGGTAGTTTGAACAAAGTTGATAAAGATTATTTTAATAATCTTATATTTCCTTCATGGGAATATTTAACAGATGTAGCGGTGACTAGTAGCAGAGTAAATCGTGGTACATCAACAACTAGTCGTCGATCTCTAGAAGTACCACAATCACAATTACAGGCAACTGTAGATCGTTTACATGAACCGCACAAAAATGTAATGACTATCAATAATTGTCCAGTTGTTTTATTGCAGCCTCTACAATCTTCAGATGTTGTAGTATCAAGTAAGCAAACTGATAAGGAATTATCAATTCATAAAAATGAACAATTGTTTCAATCTAAAAAATTCATTCATCCGAAAAAGACATTAATTTATCGGTTAGCATAAGTCAGGAGAACTGTTCTTCTTCAAAAGTGACTACTACTATTGCTTCTACTGGTTCGTCCCATACTCCAAGCCGAAGAAAAGGAGTTACTAACAAGATTCCCACAAATGAAAAAGACACTCCTTCATCTGTCAATAACAGTAAAGAAAACTATTCTCCGAAAGTGACTACTACCACTGGTTCATTACAAACTCCAGGTCGAAAAAGAGTAACTTTGGATTCATTTCTTATACCACCTGCAAAACGATCAAACGTTAATTTATGTTCTGAAATTCAGTCAGATGAAGATTGTGTTATTGTAGACTCAAAATGACAATTATTTCACTCTCACAATATATATGTATATTGTTTGAAAATATTTGTGAATAGTCTAGGAGATATATAGTTTATGTGTGCATACCTCAGTATTTACGTTTTTCGAAACCGTGTTTTGTTTAGGGTGATTTAACCCCTGCTTATCTCATTACCATTTCAATCCTCTCTTATTTCATAATAATTGTCTACTCTCTAATCTATGTATAAAAATTAGTTTAAAGGGATGCATGCTAAATCCATATTCCGTATGCTCTTTTTGTTATTTTTTTGTTAACATGTGAAACTATGAAGTACTATTAAGTAACTGAAATATATACTTTATCTCCTCTCTCGCTCTTCACATATACTGTTTTATAGAAATTCTTTGTAAAGATTTCATCTATTGTTTATACATATTTCATTATTTTGAAGATAAACAAAAGTAAAGTATAGTGGACTATTGTTTTTCCTCTCCTTCACCAATGTGTGCTTCACATTATCATCTATTTTTGTATATTTATGTGTTTATGATCAGCCAAAAAATATGTTTCTCTATTCAACAACTTGTAGATGTTTTTTTCGAAAAAAAAGTTAATAATTTTGTTTTAATCTGGTTTCTAACAAATTCTAAGTAGCAATATGCAAACGTGATTGATTAATATGGAACCCACGGAATATTTCAACGTGCTTTCAAGTCATCATTAGTGTTAATGACATTTTTCACTTAGTTTGTTTTGATGCATTTTCAAATGATGGAGAATATTTTTAGCGCTGAGAACAATTAGTATGAAGGTGTTCTGTTCTCTGAGCTGGATGGCTTTTGTAGTGGAGCGTTCACTATCTTTTTAGACAATATTACCGGCGCATATTCCATAAAAAATGAGCTGATGTAAAGTTAGAGACCAAGTCAGGGAAAAGCAGCCGAAACAGCCGTGAACGACCATACGCGTATGAATAACAACCGATTAAACTACAGATTAGCAGGTTTTAGTCAATTGTGTTTAAATTCCAGTAGATCTCTTTCTGAAGTATATTCTGATTATATTGCCTAGAAAGACAATTAAAGCTTTCATACCAAACAATCCAGTCCAGAGAACACAATACTTCAAAAATGTGATGTTTTGTTTGATTATTCCACTGGGAATCGTAAAAGAAATATGATGAAGCTTGTTCTCTGTAACTTTTTAAGACAAATTTCTTTAGGACACCGATAACCGGTTGACACTAGACACCATTTTCTTTCTAGTTTGAAACTTCAGTGCTCACTCACAACTCAAGATCTTCCAATCTCACGACACACTAGGATGTTTTCATCAGACCAAGTTGGAGAATTGCTACGTTTAAAGAGATTACGAGTTCACCTAATCTGTGAACGGAACGAAGACTCAGTGAGGCAATGACCAAATCAGCTAACTATTCCTGTGTCCCGACCCCGTTAACTATAGATAGACGTCAATGTTCAGAAGATGCCACTATATTCCTCAAGCACCCAGAAGCACGATAAACAACAACAAGCACAACTCAAGGGTAAATATACAGCATAAAAATGTCCTTGGGGAAGATTACAAAATAAATATTAAAAGAGGCGACAAACCAATAGCACTTAGGGTCCTCCCAAGTGTGAAGTACTACATGAAGGTGTAAATCGATGCTTTTGCTGCGAAAACAAGAAATTCAAATTTTTAAAATAGAATTACTAAATTAGGCATTTACCAAGTGAGTTCTGGGGATCTAACATCACCAGCAGGAACGAATTGTTCATATTCCTAACACAAGTCAGTTCATGACACAACTCTATCGACCAGCAGTTGTCTCTTTTAACACATTTCAACACCATGGTTCGTCAATTCTCTAGGATTTTGGGTCAAGTACTGCGATATTGGGTTTTCGTGTTACGGTCTATTGGTTGATAATATGGTTTTTAACGGGATTTGTCAATTATTTACAACTCCGTATGTAAGCTACACTTTCTCAAGGGGTATTGATTTTACCCGGTTGATCAAATGGAAGTCGGGGTCTGTGTTAATCTAGTAATCCAACAATTCAAAATCAAATTATTTAACCATCCGAATATTCCAAGGAAGTAGGTGTTGTTGAGTTGAATTCATGACTCCAATGAGTCATCAATCCCAGTTGAAATAAAAGAGCAGTTAGCATTTAGTGTTATATAACCTTCCTTTTTTTCTCAGTTGCGTTGTATTAAATTGATGACATCTAGTTTACAGGAATTTTTCGTATTTCTATGTACACTTTAAATATTGGAAATGAAAATGAAATCCAGTTTTTGGTTTTTATTCAGCTGTTCTAACCGATTGTGTAACTTACTTAAACGAACAGTCAGTATATTTTGACAAGTTTAGTATCATGTAATAAAATATATAGTTTAAGGTTTTAGACTTAGTTTGTATGAACACGTTGTTAATAATCGTTGTTATGAATTCAAAAACAATAATTACCATTGCATTTGCGCCTTTGTAATCGAAACGTTCATTAAAGGATGATTCGTATTATCGAATCCGCTTTTGACTGAATCACCCATTGTTTATAGAACCGGTGATCTGTTTAGCCGATATTGCATTGACCTCTTGACCAATAACTCGCTGACTCAAACAATGATCACGTATATCTTAACGCTTCCTATTACGGGCTCTACCTCTTCCATTTTACTCAATGACCAGACGGAACACAGTAATCAGACAAGACTTATACTCTACACTTTACTTTTAACCTAAAACCCATATAATATTATAGATTTATTGTCTGATTGGGCATCAACTCAAGTGCGAAATGACAACTCAGTCATGAGTGAGACAGAAATGGCACCATAGAGGAGTGACTAATTAATGATAAATGTGGAACAGTGAAACGTATAACTACGGTTTGTGAGTTAAACTCAAACTTACAAGTTCCAGAATATAAACAATAACCCCACCTAGGGTAGGTCTGAGAGTTCAATATCTCTCAAATTCTCTTTTGACATCTCTTAGTGCCAATACTGACAGGAAGTTTCCCACTGAAGACATTGGAAGATGGTCGCGCAATATTATGGATTGATTGAGGCTAGACACTAATACTATTGAATGTCGGCTCGATGATCTGGAAGTTAAGCGTTCTCACACGAGACAGAAGGTCTTGGGTTCGGTTCGGGTGTGTGGGATTGCGGATGCGCACTGTTGAAGAGTTGGATATCAGGACAAAATAGCCATCCACTCCTTCCAAATTCCCAATGTTGATCTAACTTAGATCGGTTCATAGTTTCAATGAAATTCAACAATCTCCACAACCCCTTAATGAAAATATATAATTTTACTTAAATTTTCTGTGAATTTAATGCAAAAGAGATTTAACATGATAATATCTAACTAAAGACTCACATGACAATCATAGTTTTCAAGTATTAGTCATAATAAACGCATAGACTTCAACTAGACAGACTGAATGTATCAATGGGCTAAGTCCAACAGTCAATCATTTTATGGAGTGATATCACATCTAAATTTGGGTGCCCTAGCTTTTATCGTATACTTACATCAGCGAACATCCTTCGTTAAGGTTAACGTTAGTTGAACATACATAATCCTTACGCTAACCACCTCAATTGATAAAGATTCACTACCACACCAGCCAATTCACCATTTTTATTTAGTTAGGATCTTGTACATATTCTCTGTATTATTTATTCGTTGGAATTAAATAAACATCTTGAAAATATATCGAGAACGACAAGGCAAGTTTTTTTCATATTACCTCAGTATATTTATTCTGAAAAAAGTTTGACTACATTACTTAATTATTTTTCATGCTAATAAAGCAAAACTTAATTTTTAAACATGTTCATTGTTTTGCTTTAGGGGATCACAGATCAAGATTAAAATTTTATACTGAGTCTCTCATATACTTTTTTAATATTTCCAACAATCTACTTTTGTCATGCTTCTTGGCTGCTAATTTTGAATATTTTTACCGATTAAAGTAAATATTATTTTGTAAAATATTTGTAAATTTAATTGGAGTGAGGAGAAAGTGAATAGTAATGATTAATACATTTTATGTATTGAATTGTTTGTGTGGACTTTTGTGTTTGTTTGAAAAAAAGGGAGAAATTGTCTTGTTAGTTTTATTTAAACTATATATATAGGTTTATGCTTCACGTACAAGTGATTCCCATTCACGGTCTCTTTCTCTACGATCACGACGATGTCGGTCACGTTGTGATTTTGTACTAGATTTACGTTCTTCCATGAAAACAGTACGAATTTCACGTCCACTAGCTTGAGCTAATATCCATTGTTCCATGTTAGTATTCAGTTGTACCACCTAAGCAAGGGATGTTAGTAAAATTAATCTAATCTAAATTAATCTACAACAAAAAGATCATGATTGGAAATTGAATTTTTACGTTAAATATTAAGTGGATTTATGTTAGATTTGGTTTAATGTAGTAATTTTTATTCGTCAAATAAATCGACTTCTTGAAACCTAAGGACAAGTTTATGGTTACGATATTCCTCTCCTTTTAAATATATACCTTTGTTAAAGTGATTATATCCTCGATACCAGGTCTCGATAGTCATTATTTCGTAACTTATTAGAATTTAAGACATCTTCTTGATCCTGAACAGAAATGATTGTTCAGTTATTTCATCAAATTATTTTGTGTCCCACTCTTACCTTCTCTCTTTCTATATTGTCTTAATTATTGTGAGTATTTGAATGCTTCAGACTTTTTGTTTTATTCTGGATTTTACAGTCTACCTGCTGATAAAGTTCATGCTTTATTGTGGGTAAGGATATGTGTTGAATTTAAATGTAAGCTTTAGATTATTGTTCTGTATAACATATTGATGTGGTCAAAAGGAGTTATAAAATTATATTTGTCAAAATGGTTTCAATTAAAGTAATTCTGCTATGAATGTACGATTCTTGAAGATCGTATGGAAGATTTTATGATTCAATATACACACATCAATTACATGAACTAGAAAAATTGATGATTTTTGGTGTTTTCAAACCAAATACACATTCTAGTGCTATACTGAACTGACACAATAGAGCAACGACTAATCTTTCTAATATGATATTAAGTAAAGTTTTGTTTGCTTGTTAGCAATTTGATCGAATCTTAGTACCGGATATTCTCATCGTTCCTTATAAAGCTACTTATATGCTCATATAAGTAGTACCATCTGATTCTCGTAAATATAAGTTGTATTGTACTTGATTAAATGGGGAAAAGAACTTACTTGATCTTGCATTTGTGATACAGCCTTGACAATACATGACAACGCTTTTTGACTTTCACTCATGAGTTGACGAACATGAGATATTTCTTCTTTAATTCGAGCATTACCGGAGGCATAATTTAATTGGTCTGATTGAGCCTATGCGATGTTAGAAATATATATAAATATATTCATATTTGTGTGAGTACATTTTTCACCTATAATAATGTAGTAAACTGACTACTAAATAAGTGAACAATTTCACACTTTATGTAATAAAGAGCTGAAGGTGTCTTATTTTAGTAAATCAATCAGAGTCAAGGTTTATAGATCCAATTGATCCCTGAATTATAGCCTCATGTCGAAACAGGGTGATTAATCTAGACTTGGTGATGAATATTTTTTGACAACAATATGTAGTTGTAGTTGAAAGTCGGCGAAATTGTTACCAGGAAAATGAAGAACCTTGAAAGAAGAATGGGTTAGCGGCCTTTTTATTCAAGTGTAGTAGGCTTTTGGGATATAGGTTTCTGAAGGAACGTTTTGAGAATCCCTTCATGCCTATTCCTGTAATCAAGCAATATGTAGACCCAGGGACTCTGATGTACACAACTGGTTCGAGGGCCTACACGTTTCTCAGAAGAATAGCGTATCATCGTGGTATTATTTTCAATTGACAAAACTTTATGAATTTTATTACTATTATCTTGAAGAGTACGCGAGATGAATATAAAGCTGTTTGTATCCTTATAAAGGTTCGAGGACGAAATTATTACCAGTCATATAAATGAATTTTTGTATGGAGCATATCTAATTTCAAGAGAAAAAAACAAACAAATCATGTAAATACTGAACATGGTTTCTGGTGTTTTCGCTTTAGTATTTGTATATTTTTTGGTTGATTAGAAAGTGACTTTGATTTCCAAAGTCTTTTAAAACCTACTTAAGCCAGACGGTATAAAATAATTCTATCTATGTTCATACTAGTCAATTAAAACATGAGGATTGGAAGTTCATCTTGAAAAGATCATCCTGATTTGAACATTATGGAAGTGATACCTTTCTAAACGATATTTACTAAAAGGGTATGGAATTACTTTGGATCTACTGACAAACAACTGAACTTTAAATCAATGATATTTTGTCGATTATCTGGTAACGTGTGACACTAACTTGTGCGGCTAGTAAATTTGCAACTTGACTAAATTAAAAAGCTGTAACTGTTTTGACTTTAAATTAAAATTGCTTGTTGATATAAGTGAACTGTGTTTCCACATTTTTCTAAATGAATTGTAGGCAATTATTCAATTTTAATTTCAAATAGTACAGTGATTTCTGAATTGTCTAATATTATTGTAAATTATGAGTTTTATGATTTGTCAAATTGGTTTTTCGTACTGCCATGTAGTGAATTAGTCACTGCTCCTCAAAAGGACTCCACGAATTCTCCAAGTTATTCATGAACAGGCATATTGTTATTATTAAAATGGGAAGTTTGTAAAAGTTATTTGATGTTAAGACAGTTTAAATCATAACGACTGATGATATGAATGGGGAATAGTCACATACACTATTATGGATCTATTAACGATTGTTTGGTAAGCAAGTGATTTAAAGGTGTACCATTCCTGTCTCATTGCCTGATGCTTCTGGACATGACTCATGATAAATTCGTGGATGTTCAGTACTGACGAGTCATATATGTGAATGAAGCAGCGGACCATTGCTTAATGATTATTTAGTTGGAGCAAATCTGTAACATAAATTGTCTTCAAAATGGAATATTCCCCATGAATATTTAATGTTAAAGTGTAGATTTTATTTGATAAATAAATATTCATTTTATAAACAATTTACAAGATATTTTTAATATTTTCAAATACCAAAAAACATATTACAAATATGTTTAATTTATAGATTTTTTAGTTGGGTATAAAATTAACTGAAATCTTGATGATACCTACTTGAAGATTCTGTAAACGCATATCCAGTATTTTTTGCATACGTTGTATCGCATCTAACTGAGGTAGTTGGAGATTGAGCCCACCTAATAAACAACCTGCACCACCTATTGTCATATTACCTACAGATGATGAACATCTTCGTCCTGCACTATATGTTTGTTTTTTCAAACGTTTACTACTTGGTTGACTTGTATTAATTGTGGGGGCTCCACTTTGTACACTTAACTGATAAGGATTTTGTGGATTTTCATAAGTTGTTCTACCTCCAATAGCCGTTACTGATGGTGGAAATTCTTCAGCATCTAAATATAAAGAAGAGAAAATAATAGTATTAAGTATGTTAACATAAAATAAATACCATATAGTATTAATTTAACTTATAATGGTTTGAATTATACCGTTGTTGATATTTTTAAAACTGAAATTCGATCAATCTTAGTTGGCCTGTATCCATTCATAATCATAAGAACCGGATAAATTTTTTTGTAATTCAAATCGTGGTTGACTTTGGTAACTGACGATAATATTTCGAATGAAGATGAACGTTTCGCAATGAAATCATTCATATCAAAAAATGATGTAACATCAATGAATATTCCACCTGAGCGATTAATTCCTTTCATTTACTCATGGGTTTTTATTACTAACCTATCAACTAGTACAGTGCAAAACAGTATTGTTTAATCATTGAAGTAAGTCTTTAATGCTATCTCAAAAAAAAATTTTCTTTAAGGGACATAGATAATTTATGTAAGGCTCCAGTAATTACAAAAAGTAATGGTCTGTTTATCACCTAAAAGTTGTAACTCTAACAGTGATATAGTTTTTAAAGACAACTTCTCGTTAATACCAGAATTTAAACATAATTCATTAATTTTCTCTCTGGAATACTGTTTGATATACAAATTGAGTTTTTATTTGGCTGAAGCGACTTATTCATCTAAATACAAGATCAATTTGTCAATGATTAATATGAATACTATAATGTACCTATCAACCGAAGTTACTCTCAACCTGATCAATTCTACAAGTCACAGTTTTTCTATATAACTTTGAGACATCCATCTTAGAACTAGTCACCAGTTTAAACACAATAATTACTTAGTTGAGTTATTTATATAAATATTTTTCAGTCTGAAGATAACTTTCATTCTGAATCATGAGTGCAGATTGCAGAAGTGTCTTAAGATTGATGTAAGACACAAAGCTCTCTGAGGTTTAGTAGTTTGCTTTGTTTAATATAAGTTATATTGTTCATTTTTAGAGTTCTCCTGATTAATTAGAATAATTGTCATTTTCATATGAATCTATCCCTATGATGATACCTATAATATAAGAAGAGTGGAGCCATATTCTGAAACGTTTGCTTATTACAGAAATCAGCGGATGAATTTTGTTTTTTGACTACAAATATACTGTAAGATCTGAAGTTGCTACACTTACCTCCAGATGAGATTCAGCGCTGTTAAAGAAATAAGAGTTTATGAGTAGCATTGTTCTTCAAATATGTTAGAGAACTAGTTGAATGGGAAAAATTACATTTAAAACACATTTCCAAACAGTGGTAGCATAACTATTGATAAAAGTCCACTACACCTAATATTGACAAGGGTAAGTTGTAAACTGTTTGGGGTGCAATTGTTATCACGGTGTGAATATTGGTAAACATGGGACTGGTTTTCGAATTATTATTAATTATAATTTGTTGTAGAATTACTGAATAACCAGACTACGATGTGTATATATATTCCGATCGTCATAATAACGGTTATACGATTTACTATTCCTACTTTTTCGCCAATCGGTTACTTACAGTCCCCCATCTTCGCAGCCAATTTTGGGCTTGATGTACAGTTGTTATTTTCCACTTTATTGTGTGGTGCGTTTCAGTATACCTGTTTGTTAACCATGTCTATTAGGGAAAAATTATAGTAGACTCTGTTTGCTGACTTCTGAACTCAAAGTTAAGAATGCTGGTTGGATGTGTAACTTGTCAAGACCAAGAAACTAAACTATAGAGAAGTATATACGTACACCTGTTATTCCTAAATGAGGAGCATAGGCCAGCCAACAGCACTCTCCATCCAACACTATCCTGGGCAATCATTTCCAGTTCTCTACAATCGCTATTCACCCTTTTGATGTCTGCTTCCAATTCTCGATGTAATGTGTTCTTCGGCCCTCCTCTTTTCTGTTTCCCTTCAGAATTCCGGGTAAGTGCTTGCGTCATGATGCAGTTTGGTGATTTCATCAATGTTCGTCCCATCCATTTCCAACGTCGTTTCCTAATTTCCTCCTCAGATGGAAGCTGGTTTGTCCTCTCCCACAGTAGGCTGTTGCTGATGGTATCCGGCCAACGGATATTGAGTATCCTCCACAGACAACTGTTTATAAATACTTGTACTCTCTTGGTGATGATTTTAGTAGTTCTCCAGGTTTCAGCTCCATACAGTAGAAATGTCTTGACGTTCGTATTGAAGATTCTGACTTTGATATGGGTTGACAGTCGTTTTGAGTCCCATATACTCCTGAACTGTAGGAATGCTGAGCTTACTTTGCCAATCCTTGCCTTCACGACTGCATCAGACCCTCCATGTTCGTCGATGATGCTTCTCAGGCACGTGAAAGATTCCACAGCTTCCCCATCAAGTGTTATTGGATTGGTGTTGTGTGTGTTGTATTTGAGGACCTTGGTTTTCCCCATGTGTATGTTTAGGCCTACAGATGCAGAGGCTTCTGCCACACTGGCTGTCTTCACCTGCATTTGTAGATGTGTATGGAATGGAAGGGCCAGATCATTTGCGAAGTCCGAATCGTCCAGATGATTCCGAGCTGTCCATTGTATTTCGTGTTTCCCGTCAGATTTTGAGGTCTCTATAATCCAGTTGACTACCAGAAGAAAAAGGAAGGGCTAGAGTAGTCAACCTTGTCTGATTCCGGTCTTCACATGGAATGGGTCTATCAGTTGTCCTCGATGCACCGAATTGCACTGTAGTTCGTCGTATGAATTCCGGATGATTTTGACGGTTTTCTCAGGTACTCCATAGTGTCGAGGATGCCTCCATAATGTTCTCATATCCACACTGTCAATCGCCTTCTCATATTCAGTGAGGTTGATATATAGTGCCAAGCTCCACTCAATTGGTTGCTCAGCAATGGTCCGTGGTGTTGGGACTTCGTCTGTGCACGTCCGATCCTTACTCAATCCGGTCTGTTGATCTCGAAGTTGGGCGTCTACTGGGTATTCCATCTGGTTCAGCAACACTCTGTTGAAAAATTTTCCTGGTACCGATGTTAGTGTGATTCCCCTGTATTTTTCACATTTGCTCAGATCTACTTTCTTTGGAGCATGTTTGCATATACTTGTATGTCTGACTTCAGTGCCTTAGGTGGTATGTCGTCAGGTCCTGCTGCTTTACCGCTCTTGATTTGTCTGATGGCAATCCTGATTTGTTCTGTCGTTGGTGGAGTAACAGCTATAGAAAGACCTGTGTGTGCTGCTTTCGTGTTCGGTGGGTTCAGTTGGGATGGTTCATCCCAGAGTTCTTCAAAGTGTTCTATCCACTTGTTCCTCCGTCGTTGAATCTCAGTGCTTGACTTGCCTTGTTTGTCCCTGACCGGTCTGTCTGGCTTTCTATGTTTCCCTTCCAGCTTCTTCGTAGTGTCATTTAGTTGCTTCAGATTTCCTTCTCTTGCAGCTGTTTCCGTTGTCGTTGCTAGCTTTTCCACGTATTTCTGCTTATCTGTTCTAATGCTTCACCTCACTTGCTTATTTGCTTCAGTGTATTCAGTTTGTGCCTCGACTTCCTCTGCTCTTGTTCGTCTGTTGTTAATTACCGTCTTCTTGTTCTTCCTATCTTGAATCTTGTGCAGGGTTTCCATACAGATCCGTTCCTCATGCTTGTGTTTGTTGTGGCCCAGAACCTCCTGACACGTGAAGTCGGTGCTTCTGTAATCCCTTTCCAATTGTTCTTCATAGTAGTTTCTCATTCTTTGAGTAGATCTTGTACGGCTTGTAACCTGTTGTTGAGAGTTATCTTGAATTTGTCGAGTTTGTTAGTATATTGAAGGGAGGTTGTATGGAACCGTTTTACTGCTGTTTCCCCAGTTGCTCAGTGTTCTTTTAGCTCGAGTTCCATGTTGGCCACAACCAGATGGTGATCTGAAGCTAAGTTAGGTCCTATCCTGATTCTCACGTCTTCCACTGTCCTTCTGAATATTTTATTGATAAAATGTGATCTACCTGGTTCTCTGTGGTGTGGTCCAGTGAGATCCATGTAGCTTTGTGTATGCGTTTGTGTGGGAATATTGTGCCGCGTGCACATTGTTATATCCTAGTGAAGATTACATTACGAGTAACGTCTGAGACCTATTAATGAGCTAATATTTTTTATATGATCTTATGGTATAAATATTCAGTAACTAAATTATGTATGTCTATATTCAACTTGTTATAGGCTTTATTTTGACCTATATGTAATTATTGTAGGATTGACTGTTCTTAAGCTATGTTCAGTTTATTGACTACTGCCTCCCACGTTCACAGCCACTTTTTGGCTTTATTGTGTACAAATGTTATTTCATATTTTATGCTGCGTTGTGGTCTGTTTGTTTGGTATATAAACTCAGTATGTCTGAAATAAATGATTCGCCTAATGGAGGCTGTTGTTGGCATTCTGGACTGACCTGGAAGGGCTAGGTGAGCAACGAACCATGAGGACGCTAGGCTAATCAGACCGGTCGGACATCATTGGTTTAGTACAGTATAAGAGCGAATGAGTCGTATTTTGGTTGGCGAATAAATTATGTGATAACTAGCGGGCCATAAAGACACAACACACATAGATTTGCAAATCTCTCATCATTTTTGTTTCGCTCTCTCAGTTCATGTCATCCCGTGTATCTTCATTCCCGGTGTTGTCCACCCCGACTTTAGTGTTTAATTCTTTCATAAGGATGGTCAGGTGCTTTCTCGGGCGCTTAGCTATGATTGATTGCAGCCGCTCGTAAAACTGATCTTTATCGTTGTCCTTGCGATCATTGGTGGGTGCATAACATTGAATAACATAAATTGTGATTCCCTCCTTCCTTGTTTCGAGAGATGCTTTGATGATCCTGGATCCGTGAGATTCCCATTCTATAAGTGCATTTTGTGATTATTTGGACAACATCAGGGCAAGTCCTTGAGTGTGCGGTGCATTTTCCTCTTCGTGACCGGAGTACAGCGGCATCTCTCCTAAATCTAATCTCTTCTGTTCAACTTGGGTCCAATGAGTTTCACTTATTCTGCGCACCTTCACTT